CTGGCCTCAGAACATCTTAGAGAAAACACAAGGTTATGGGCTAGTCCTGACAAATGCTAATACTTCTACTTAATCGGTATGTTCTTGAAACCTAGGCACAGAACTGCTCCAACAAGATTCCTCAGGTCCTTAAAAAAGGAATGTGTTTGGTGAAGGTTAAACTGACACATTTAGAAGCTGAGACAGATGAAGAGTGGGAGAAACCCAATCAGCCTGGCATCCTACAAGGTATGAGCCTTGTGTTATATTTTACAAACTAATAACTGCATTGGTGGTAGTAAGGATGAGGGTGGAGGAGCAATACACTTCAAAGAAAAACATATTCAAGACACTTGCAAAACCATCTGGGGAAAATCGAGGAGATATTTCTACTTACCAAGCTCTGGTATCTGTATAGAAACATGTACTTTCAACCACAGAGACATTTATTAAATTAAAATTTATCAGACATTTCTTTTTCCATAGCTCGTTATCTCATAGCAAAACTAAAGAACTTTTTGGTCATCACCCAATAACTTGCCCTCTAAGTGAGAACACTGAGGCGTTTTCCTGTTGGACCCTTAATTATTAATCCACACCAGTTACCACCTCTTTGTGAATCGGAAGGTTAAAGGAATATATCATTCATTAATATTAAAATCTAGAGGACATTAAGATTTCTGAGGCTTTAGCTACAGACTTATTTCTGTAATATTCTTATTTCTATAGTCCTGTAGCAGGTGCTACCGAGAAGTTCAGCAAGGTGTTTTCACTACAATAGAGAGGCATTTCCCCAACTCGTAAGTCTTTTTAATGTGCTAACCTCCAGGATTTCCTTTTAAATTGATGTTTTTAAAAGAAGAATCTCTTGTGAGGCTCTGGGACCAACCTGCTTGTCTGAATCCTGTCATCGCCGCTTGTTAGCTGTGTAATCTTAGACAAGTTACTTAACGTGTCTTTTGTGAAATGCTGATAATACTAATACCTAACTTACAAGGTTATGATGAAAACTTCTGAGTTAATAATACATGTATAAAACATGGAGAACAGTGCCTGAAACACACTAAGTTAGCTATTACTATTGTATTATTATATTTTCATTGTCAGCATACGTATAGTTTGAAGAAAAGGTCTGTATCTACTTAGTGGGAATGAAGTTAACTAGGTAACCAGAAAATTATATTGAAATATCTACCTAGAAAATAAGAGTACTGTAGAGAATTTCTCAAATGATCCTTTTAAAACATTAATTTATTTTACCAGTTTTTCCATTTTTAAGGCTTTTTAGGAAGCTATTCCTCCCAATATTTTCCAAAGTTGTGATGACTCATTCAGGAAACAAAACATACAAAAGCCCCGTGACACCACTGAATATTAAGTTTCCAATTTTGCCCAATTCATAGGCTCATATACTCTCACCTGCAAGGAATAATGACTTTAAGCATTCTCTGAAAAATGACTGAAATTGAAATTTTAAAAGGACAGAGTTTGCTCTCAGGAACACTTACATCTATATATCTTAGCATCTATTTCCATTCTTCTAAAGTTGCATCAAAGCATAGGTATAAAGAGAATACCTGGAAACTCATCATGATATTCTAATTAGTATTTAATTAACAGGTTGAGATAAGATACATTCTTATTAATTCATCAATAATTAACAGATGATTTGGCGTCAAAATGGAATGCCCACAAATTATTTACTAAGTAATGAAACCTAGTTAACGGTGGTGGCTGTGTAGCACGGCAAGAGCTGCATGTGCTCACTGCTGAGTAAAGTTGGCTTCCACTTCACAAGCATTCGTTCTCAACTAATACATTTAAAGAACAAACTAGCTTGATATTTAGCATTAGAAATACCGAATGGTAAAAGTAAAACTTGATTTTTACCTGCTCCTATGTTTTTGCTCAGCTGGAGAACTCAAAAGATAGGATCCTGATTCTCTGAAAATAAATTCCACTGATGGTCCCTTGAGAAGCAAAACAATGGGCGTGAAGATTTACCTAAAGAAGTGGCTGTCCTGGCAGATGACTTATTCTATTAATAAAATGTGTTTGCACACACAAGACACCTTCAAAAAAGTCGGGCCTGGAGAAGAGGTAGGAGGAGTGGAGGCATGAAACACATTTCCATCATACAAAGCGTGACCGTTTCTTCCAAACTCAGCCTCTTTCTTTAGGCATGATGAGCTGGCAAAGAATATTTTCTTTGCGAGCAGTAGTGTGTAAAGTTCTCTCTGCCCATGCAACTTGCCACTAGGTAGCTTTCCTCCCAACTAAGTTTCTAAGCTTTGCTGGGATTAAAGTTATTATAGTAATAGGTACAGGTACTGAGTCAAGGTCATGGAAAATGAACTGCTGAGCTTGTATAACAAGTGCTAAATATTTGGTTACTAAAATTAGAGAAACCAGAAACCGTAAGGAGCTGGTCATAACCAGTAATGTAAAAACCTGGTTCAAATGTTACCTCCTCTGTGACACTGGCCTCTCAGCCCAGGTCCTATGCACAGACTCTGATTACTGCAACTCTGAATTGCATTTCATTTATCTGTAGTTTAAGCTGCTTGAGGGTAAGGGCCATTACTATGAATCCTCAGTGCCGACACACAGTAGATGCTCACCATTGTTGAATGAATAATATCTCAACATCTTCTTTTGTTTCACATTTTAATCAATGTTTCACCTAACAGGGGAATTTATTTGAAATAACTCCTACCCACAAAGTAGATCTAACATAGACTGCTATCCCTTACTAAGATGTCTTATCATTTGGAGTTATTCCAAATTACAAGATCGCATTTTATTTCCCAGCCTATCTGGTTGGGTTGTTGTGCCAGCCACTAATTAATTTCTCAGATTCAACTGTACCCTTCAATGCCTGCTCTGAACTTCTGCACTAATCGATGATTCTTCTAAGCAGTTCTCCTTTACAGCAAGCACAGTAAGTTTCTGAGAAGGCGCCTGGGAGACACTGCCAAATTCTAGCTGCTGCCGGACTGCTCAGTGGGCGTAGAACACCCAGTGATGCTTTGTCCCTGCCTTGTGCCCAGAATGGCAGCCCCAGCTCAGCCTGATGACTACCTTCCCACATGGCTCTCCCCACACAAACAGCAGGTGCTCCAGGCCTCCCACCCGCAGTGGCACGGTGACCCTCTCAGCTGAGGCTGACCCACACCCTGGAGGGTGGCTTCATAGTTCCCTGGCGACTGCAGACAGATCTGTCCTGGGCAATGCAATGAACTTCTCCAACACCCAGTGGGCTGCAAATACTGGATGCTGACTGATAAGGTGGTCAATATAGAAGGCTTCACCCTGAGATACAGTTGTCAATATAGAAGCCTGGAGCTTCCAAAATAAAAACTGAGGTAATTAATTACCTTTGGCTCTGAACTTGGACCAAAGATATTTATTAAAGTAAAATGTCCTATATCATGTTTTTTATCCTTAGAGAAACGAAGCCCCTAATTTTTTTTTAAGCTTCTATTTTCCTAAGCCTTCTATTTGGAGATAGAAGTTACAACCCTTAACTTCAGCATTGCAGGTTAATAGTTGTCCATAATGAAAACAAAAATTCCTCAGCACTTTCTGCATCAATCACCAGAAAGGCACAAAGCGAACTACTACACTACAGAGAAATATGAATTAAGAGTGGCCATGTAGGGAGGGCTTCCCTGGTGGCGCAGTGGTTGAGAGTCCGCCTGCCAGTGCAGGCGATGCGGGTTCGTGCCCTGGTCCGGGAGGATCCCACGTGCCACGGAGCCGCTGGGCCTGCGCCTCCGGAGCCTGTGCTCCGCAACGGGAGAGGCCACAGCAGTGAGAGGCCCGCGTACCGCAAAAAAAAAAAAAAAAAAAAAAAAAAAGTGGCCATGTAGTAGACACATTTTATTATTGAAGAACAGGACCTTCCAATTATTGCAAGTAGAATATGCTATCTGTTAGTACAGAACTATACCTGCAGCAATAACACAACCTAGAAAGTTATACACTGCAGTGTGGTGAGCTTGAAGTTTGGCACTTACAAAGACCTAGGTTCAAATCCCAGTTGTGGCGCTTCTGAGCTGTGTGCCTTTGGCCAAATAACATAATCCCTGAGTTTCTTTCCTTATCCTGTCTTGTGATGATGGTTATAAAGTAAGATATACCTACCGTATAAAACTGAGAAGATTAAACAAGGTAAGCAACCATTAGTATGATTTTCCCTCCTGTTTCCTCATTTTATAGGTAAGAGAATATTGAGGCACAGAGATAAAGTTTTTACCAAAAGCACAGTAGTTTACAGATAAAGTTGAAACTAGGCTTAAAATACTCTTGACTTAAGCATGCAAACTTGGGAAATGAAGTATGTACTAAAGACCAGTAGCTCCATTCGATAAGGATAGTAATTTATTAAGTAAATAATAAATTATAGCTGCCTGATAAATGCCATAAGTGTAGAACAAGTGCAATTTATGTGATTAAAAATTTAACATATTCATATAATACTTTATGCTTTATAAAGTGCTATGACTAATATAATTTAATCTGACCACAGTAGCCTTATCTTTAAAAGACCTATTTTTTTAGTTATAGTAGTAATTTCATAGACTAAGAAATTTCAGAAAAAATAAATTACTTTAGGTGTGAATAAAGGAAAATCATGACTAATTAATGATTTTGCTATAATTTCTCAACTTTTAATAAAAGCCCAAGTTTCTCTTAACTGTATATATCATATATAGAAGAGGTTAAATTAGAGGTTTAAAAAGTAGCCACTTTGCTAGGAAGAATAAGGTTGCTTGGATTTGTTGCAAAAAATATAAGTAAATGTGAAAGTAAACTTTGTATGGTCAAAGAAATAAAAGACTGCCACTAACAGAGGCAAATGGTTTTTCAAAATACATCTTTGTACCCTACAATTTCAATTCAATGGTGTCTTCAATATTACAAGTCTAGACAAACCACACCTTCCTTCAGTCCTCCCCGGCCCCATCTCTTGAAATCAACAGACATTAGAAAATAAATTTTAAAAATCCACAAAACTATTTCAAATGATTTTATTAGAAAACTGTTGTGTTTCCCATTTACAAAAAGCTTAAATGTTTCCTGAAATATACCACTTGCTGTACATAACTTATCAGAATCTTAACCTTTTGTACACTGGTGATGGGGGCCATGGAGGGTGGTGTTTTGGACTGGGAAACTGCATCACTGTTGCTGCATTATCCGATAGCACACACCAACCCCACATATTCATAATATACACAGCAAATGAACATGTCGAATATTCTTAAGTTTCTCCCGTCTTTAAAGCCCCTGACCTGGTACAGAATCTAACCAATGGACACTTTCATTATAGCAAAAGCTTCCAGCTGGTCCTGCTGATGGCTGTCCTCTCCATTTTGACCTACCTTGCATATTGTGGCCAGATTAACTTGAAAGTAATTCTGCCCTGTTATTTCCTTTTTCAAAAGTCAACAAAAGTTTCCCATTAATAACGTCACCATTTAAAATAATGGTTAATTCTTACCAGCAATACGCTTGGTTCTTTCATTTCCTCACTTCACCTGAGAAAAAGTCCACCGTGATGCAATGAGTAATAAGGACAAATTTTCCTTGAAAACTGAGAATTGTCAGTTTTATTTTTCTCCCACACTCTAACTACAATATATTAACTCACAGCACCACCTATCTTTCAATAAAAGGTTAGGAAACTAGTTTTACTTTTAGCATAATGCCCAAATATCTGGCCTGTACAATTTAGTGTGAAATTAAGTCTAAAATGCAGGAAGGAAAAAAAAAAATCTGAAAATAGAAGTTCCATTTGACATGTACATAAAACACTTATACCAGTATGTATCAATTTCTTAGTAATGTTTCAAACAAAGGAGTCTGGCCAGCAGTATACTGAAGATTTTAATCTGCCACAAAATAGACAGTGAACTGTGCCTGAAGATGTTAACTCGAAGTCGCAATCAGGGAGAAGCAGGGCCGTTTTGACTTATAAATTTTAATATTCATTGATATTTTCATGCCCAAGCGTTAACTAGAATGTGTGTTGCCTTTTCCTTAGAAGTCTTCCCAACATTTTGGTCATTTTCCTTGTTTAAATAAGAAAAAAAAAAAAAAAAGGTATAAAATTTCATTTTCATATGCTCTCAGTGTGATCCCTATCAGTACTACAAGTAAGTATAAATTTATAACGTGGAAGACAGCCTGCTCATACAGCACACAGTTCATCCTCTGTTTAAGGATCCCAGTCAAGACACCATACCCCTTTCTCAAATCAGTGTTATTCTCTGACCTCACGCTGCAACAGAACTATTTTTAGAAATGATGATTTTCTTACATAAACCTAAGCAGTATAGAAATAGTATAGAAAATATTTTTTGGTCAGAATGAACGGGCATTTGTTCCAACAGCTGAGAAGTCAAACCATGAAAAGTCAAACCATGAGAAGCCACTGATTATATGAAAAGCCTGGCTGTGATGTCCATGAAGAATTAAAATGTCTTGAATTTACAGAGCATTTCTCCTGTGCAGTCCATGTCAGCTCTGTAAGGCAGGCAGGGGCGGGTATCGCCACCCATTTCACCTACAGGGAAACAGATGCACTACAGTTTAAGCGTGTCAGTCCATTGGAAAAACAGAACTCCAAGCCAAGGGTGATTTACAGCTGTTTCACGTTCTATTCCTCAGATTTAAAAATTAGAAAAAAAAATTAATAATTTCAGTTAAAACTGATTGAAAATAATGTAACTCATGAAAGTTATTTTGAAAACAGCATTTGGTTACAATTTTCAGTAATATGACAAAAGTTTTGAAGACTATTTTTAAAGAATAGCTTGTCAAAACTAACTGGATTAAGCAACTTCTTAGCAATTGATATACTGGGGCTCTAATTATTTTAGAAAGCTCTTTTGTTAGAGCGTAAGTAGTTCATCATGTCATAGCATACAACTTGTACCACATAGTCTTTCTTCTGGTGATTTTCATCAGCAGAGAGTAACATGGCTCTGTGACTAGTTAATTAAATCACCATCCAATTCCAGTTACAGTTAGCTTGTCAGTCATAGCAGAGTTGTTAAAAGAGAGAAATAAGCTCTTCTAACCTTTACAACAATTAGTCAAATTTTCATATTATCAATGGAATAAAAAGGATAGTTCTCACCTGCTTCACAGGCCTTCTATTCTTTCTGAAGTTTTACATTTCACATCCATTTTTTCCTAATGTCATATTACAGTTGACCCTTGAACAGCGAGTTTGAACTGTGCATGTCCACTTACACGTGGAGTTTTTTCAGTAAATACCTAGTATAGTACTACCTGATCCCCGGTTGATTGAATCCCCAGATGCAGAACCATGGATATGAGAACCAACTGTAAACTTAAACGCAGATTTTCAACTGCTTGGGATCAGCTCCCCTCACCCTCACAAGGGTTAACTGTGATTTTAAATTCTTTCTCTCCTCCTGTAGAATCCCTTTTAAGCTATTCCAGGGAAATTACTAATATACATCCAGGTACTAAACTTCTGTGTCATGACATTTAAAATACAATAGAAATTTTTATATTTTCTCATATTTGATTGCACAGTATAAACTTGATTAAAATGCACTAAGTAACAACATGTGTTTAAATCAACACTAACTTAAAATGTTAGGTAGGAAATAGCATAACTTACTTTAATATATCCCAACTCAGTATGAAGGTGAGCAGTTTATTTCTGAAGGTTTAGATGTTTTCACTGTAGTTTATTATCAAAGCAAACAAAATATTTTGGTCTCTTTCTTCACCTTTGAGTCTTTTTAATTCTTCTTCTTTAGTTCACAGTGTCACAGAAGTGTAAAATAAGACTGATAGAAACCACTCTAAAACATATGGCTTTATATACATAAAAAATTCAATAATGTTGCCACAACCCCTAATACAGAGTGATTCTTATTTATCTGCTAGTATCCAGAATAAACTTCTGTACATACTAAATTGTTCAAGTATATCTAGAGCAGTGCTTATAAAAGTGACGTCCCACTGCTACATTAATGGGTATCTCTTTGAAGACCACTTCTAATTTCAACACAATTAAGGTAGAGTTCTAAAATTTTTTGCTTTTACAACTTATAATACATCCTCAAATATTCTAAAATGCTCCAATGAGCCAAATATCTAATTTAATTTACATCTAGCTGAACATCCCTTTTGTACAGCACCAGTGGTTAAATTAAAAATGCATCTGACTAACCAAATGTTCTCTTCCTTCCATTAGTTACAGTTTGTTATTTATTTATATAACTCTGAACCCAAAATGAAAATGAAGACAACTCAGGTCAAACTCTTTCACCCTAAATAAACATTTCATTCACTTTACACTTAAATACCTAATTGTTTTCCTATAGTGTATGTTTCTCAGTAACAATGATACAATTAACTAAGCCAAAGACCAACTTCTCATCTTTGAGGATTAGGCAAGTCGGATAGGATTCTCCAGGTTTGCTTTAAAACTTTCCAGAAACCTGGTAGCCAGTTCATCATCTACCACTCGGCTGTCACTGGACATTGTGACCGTTATGAGCTGGTGTTGCTGCAGTTTGGCATTACCCTCTTCATCCTGAGTGAGCTTCAGCACAGGTCGGAATCTCCCAACAGCCAAAATGCAGGCCTGAGGAGGGTTGATCACTGCAGTAAATTCATCGATGCCAAACATCCCCAAATTGGAAATACTAGGGGAAAACAAAAAGCTCTGAAGATGGCATGTCCTTAATCAAAGAACCCTTTCCCTGAGTCATATATTTTTACTTTATTAAAAAACTGTGCCACAGAACCTTATTCCAAGTTACTCAAAGACCAAAGACAAAGAATACCATTTACAGTAGGATCAAAAAAATAAGTATCAACACACAAATATTGTATCTAATATAAACATTTATTCAGCATTGAACTCGAAGTCCTAGGCAGAGGAATATGGCAAGGAAAAGAAATAGAAGGTATGAAGACTAGAAAAAAGAAATTAAACTTTATTATTCACAGATGAACTGATTGTGTACAAAGAAAATCTAAGCCTCTATAGATAAACTAGTAAGATTAATAAATGAATTTAGCGTAGTCACTAGATAATAAGTCAATATAAAAATTTATATCTATATACAAGTTGCTTTCATTAGAAAATAATACCATTTACAATAGTATACAAAATATCTAGGACTAAATCTAATGAAACATATATAAGACCTCTAAACAAAAAATTATAAAACACAACTGAAAGAAATCAAAGAACAAGTAAACAATGGTTTATACCACGCTCATTCACTGGAAGACTCAACGCTATAAGGATGTCAATTCTCCTTAAACTTAAATTGATCAAACAATTCAATGCAATCCCAATAAAAATCTGAGCAAGATTAGTGTGTGTGTGTGTGTGTGTATGAAAAATGACAAGTTGATTCTAAAATTTATTTGGAAGTACAAAGCCAGGAAAGACAATCTTGATGGTGAACAAATTTGGAAGACTTTCATTATCATATATCAAGTTATAGTTTGCTGGTATTAAGCAAGGGAAGGACAAACAGGGCAATTGAAAAGGAGAGAGAATACAGAAAAGGACCAAACACACTTGGTTACCTTCTCAATGCTACAGAGAAGTAGTAATCTTTTCAATAATTGAGGCTTAGTCCATTAATTATCCACAAAGGGGAAAAAAAGAGCATCGTGACCTTTACTTCCATATCAAAGACAAAAATCTAATTTCAGATGAATTGCAACCTACATGTGAGAAGTTACAAAGCTTCTGAAGATAACACAGAAGAATAACTTCATGACTCTGGGATAGACAATAATTCCTAGCAGAAAACAAGGAGTACTAACTATAAAGAAAAATACTGATAAATAGGATTTTATTAAAATTCAGAACTTCTGTTCATTAAAAAACACCATCAAGAAAGTTTCAAAGGCAAGGTACAAAGTGGGAAAGGTATTTCAAATAATATATATCCTATAAAAGTCTGTGTATCAGGAAAAAGGAACTACTATAAAACATTTTTAAAAATAGACACAAGACTTCAACAGGTATTTTATCCGATGAGTTACCAGATACCCAAATGGCTGACAGATAAATGAAAACAGTATTCAACATCATTAATTTGCATTTCTCTGACCACAAAGAGTACCACTACACACACCAAGATTCATTAAAATTTAAAACCTAATAATATTAAGAGTTAACAAGAATATGAAGCAACGGGAATTCTTCATACACTGTTGATGGAAGAAAAAAATGGTAGAACCATTTTGGAAAACTATCTGGCAGGATCTACCAAAGCTATAAACCCAGCAATTCTACTTTCAGGTCTATACAACAAAAATATGTACATATAGTCACCATAAGGCACTAACAAAAATGTTCACGAGCACCAAACTGTAAACAACACAAATGCCCAACAGTGAAATGGACACTAGCATATTTATACAGCATACTACAGAATACTATAACGCAATAATAAATAAATGACTGCTTCACACAACTACATGCGTGGTTCACCTCACAGACATTAATGTTGAGCGAAAGAAGTCAGACACTGAAAAATATGTATTTATGTAAAGATCAAAGTTGGCAAAACAAGAACTTCGGTGATAATTTTCAGAATCATGGTTACCCTCAAGGGGGTGAGAATCAGGAAGGGTAAAGGGAGGCTTATGGGATGCAGATAATGTTTATTATCCTGCTTTGGTTGGTTACACAGCTTTCTTCACTTTATAAAACATTGCAGCTACACTCCGTGTACTGTACTGTAAGTTATAAACAAAAATAGAGCTGCTAATAACTCAGGAGTCTATGTGTTAATATTTTACCCCAAAGGACCTTAAAATAAATCACAAGTAGAAAAAAAATAGTTGACGTTTATAAATCTATTGTATGTCAGACCCTGAATGTCATTCTATGAACATCTAAATGGGTTAACTAGCTAACCCTAATGGCTTCCTACTAGCTTTGATTCATATCAAAGACTAACTGTCTGAAGAACATTTTCACATATTCTCTTGTCTAAATAAAGTATGATATTTAGCTTAAATTTTTAAAGAAATGCTTCAGAAAATAAATGAAAACAGGTTAACAAGGACTTCATAAGTCTTATGTCTGATGCTACAAATAATTAAGTTTAAATTTTACCTAAAAGATCCTCCTTGGTATTCTTCAGGTAACAATTTTCCATCTCTAGCTTTCTTTGATAGAGCCTGAGAAAAATACAAACAGAGCATGACAACCAACACTACATTATATGGCTGATTTTGTCACTTAAAAATATGTTTATAGGGTACACTCTCATCTTTGATATGCCTTGACCTGACTTTATAAGAGACTATATATACATACGTGTGTGTGTGTATATATATATATATATATTTTTTTTAATTATATATATAAAATTTTCTCTAACACGCTTAAAAAAATGAGTAAGTTAGAGCACAGATAATCCAAGAAGCTATACACATGTGAATCAGAACTCTAGAAAAATCATTTCCCTTTAAAAATTCTTCAAATATTGGAATTACCTTGTACACTGTGCAGAATGTTTCAGTGGTTTTTATATATACAGTGAAATTTTCCATTTTGCCTATAAAATTTTTTCTTGTAAGACAAAGTATTAGAAGAGCCTTTCTTGTTACTCTAGTAGCTTTTAAATAAATTATTCAATGGCAACAATCTCACAACCAATGCATCGATTTTCATTTCAGTGTTTGCTTCTTTTTCACCCATAACATACATATAACTTCAAACAGTTGTTAAAAAAACAGAGAATTTTATAGTTACTTTTCAGTATTATATGCATCTTCTGTATTGTTAGTCTTTGCAACTGATTTTTAAATGTCTGTTTAACATTCTAAATACTGCACCTGCCACAATTTAGTCATTTTCCTAGTGCTGTAATTTGGTTCATTTGTTTCTTTTGAATTCCTTCATATAAGTTCTCAGAAATGGAATTACAAAGCCCTAGAAAATGAACTTTTTTTTTGGTTCTTGATCCTATAGCTAAAACATTTCCTGTGAGCTAGTCTACCCTGCTACAAGAAATGTAAAAATGTAGTAATTTCACTACACCCTTGACAAAACTGATGTCTAAAACCTTACAGAGGGAAAGACAGATAACACTCTGAGAGCTATATGAGGAAAAGTAGTTGAATTTCCCTCTACTTGGAATTAACCACACATCTTAATTTTTATTTTTCAATGCTTCAAAAGCAAGGGGACAGAGACTGAGTCTTTACATACGAAAAATTAATGAAGAATTACTTTATGAGGGGGACAATAGAGATAAGCTACTGTCATTGGGTAGATGATATAAATCTGGGGTTTACTTAATATTCTATATTGTATAGCTAACAAAAGGTACAATTACAATCCCCACTGAAAACTACTTAATTTTGAACCATAGATGATTTAATTTTTGAAAAATAAAACATTCTTTAAAAATCAAAAAAACGATCTCAACACATCACTGTGACTTACCGCCAAATGAATCAATTACAGATTTATATTATTTGGATATAGTTACTTACAAAACTATTTAGATCCAGAATGAAAAAAATAAGAGATGAATTTAGACTTGTATAGTCCTTGGAATATTAGAAGTAGAGAGGACAATCTACAAATGCATTTCTCCTGCCTTAAGCAATGTAATAACTTCACATGATCTGAACAAGCACGTATCACATGAACTTTAAAAGGCATTTCTCTAAAGGCAGATGATCATAACAAATCCTGATGAGTTACCAGGCTACAACAAATAAAAAACATATTCATTAAAAAAAAAAAAAAAACAGATGATAAGCACACGTAATAAATACACTTTAAGAAAATCTCTATAGACCCAAAACATCAGCAGGATATTCCTGTCAACGAATTCCTAAGAGTGTGGAATAAGAATAGATTCTGATGAGGATCACTGGTTTTGAAAGTAACTAATTCTCACTGGTATTTCCCGGGAGTGTGAATGTAAAAATCAAAGCTCATGTTTCCTGAACCATCCAGCTGACAAGACATAATACAAGCTGACTAGCAAATACTTCTAAAATATATCACATGCCTTACTAATTTATTCAACAAATTTACTGGGTACTAAGGAGCTAAACTTTGCCTCTGCCTCTTAAAACTGTTGAAGCTGGCCTACTGCCTGCGTTCCGCCTATTCAATGTGATGTTTTTGGTGAGAGCTGACTCTTCCATATAGGACCCCAGGAAAAGGAAAGCGTTTTCGCTTCTGGAATACCAAGTACTTCTAGTGGTCTCGACTGTAGAGAGGAAATGAATAAACTTTTAAGAATAAAATGCTGTGAAAAGTGAGGTCTGTCCATTACCACTTTGATAGAAATATAGTTTCAGCTTTAATTTTAAAATTTATCTATAATACCATCTCTAGAGTTGCATTATAGACTTTGGGAAACAAAGCAGCCAACTTGAACACAGCTGGCCTTAACTTGTACACGTGTTATTTCTGAATTTTTAAATGTTAAATGTTCTTAAAATGGGTTGTACCTGTATAAAAGCTTAAAAGTCTATATACATAATTGATAAGCACTTGGAAATACCAAAAATATACATTATGTGCATGCACACACACGTATCTCACAGCGTGGCAGATTATGCTAACCTACCTTCACAGAGTCAGCAATCTCTGGCAGACCCTTAGCAGCAGCATCTTTGATGACTGGTGTAATTAACCCTTTATCTGTTGCCACAGCCACTGAAATGTCAATAAAGGGCAGTTGCTTTGGGCTCTCTCCATCCCAGCTTACATTAACACTCGGCATTTGCTAGAAAGCAAAAGTAGAGAAAAATGTTGCTAAAGAAGTGGCTTTAGACCAAGGTTGTTATGGAAAAATAACTAACATTATTATGTAGTTTTGAAAGGGAATACAGCTAGACTGAAGGAAATAAATAAAACTTCGATTTGAAAAAAGTGGTTTGGACCTCTATATTAAATATCTTTTATGTTTGGGAAGAATAATTAAACATACCATCCTTTTTGAAGCAAGCCTGAGGAAATTCTGATGATGTACACATGTTTTGATCTCTTTATATCATGGTTAAGAAAAGGGCTTCCTTTGTTAAACCTAATTGCTAGGAAGTATTTAACGTTTGTTAACCTTCCTGCCTCATATGATGACCGACATGATCTTGAGGAGAAGAGGGGAGGGCAGAGGGGTAGTGACATCCAACCACATTACTTCTATGGCATGAGGAAGCCTGACTTTCTAGTGCAGCCCTGGGAAATATTAGCAGGCCCTTAATAAATGACTTCCCTATTTAAGAGAGATTTCCTAGGCTTCATAAACATATGCTATATACTATATATGAGCATGTATATATTTAATATACATACAACTACACTGAGGATGAAAAAAACCGGGAGATGACTAAATGCCTGGAAACAGTATGTATTGATAATGTTGCCAGACATCACTGGAGAAAATGATGCTGAAAAACAGATATCAAAAACTAATTTCTCTTCTCAAAAATTCATTGCTTTCTGCAGAGTGAGACCCAAGCCTCCCAGCATGTCATTTAAGCATGGCAATCCACAATTTGATTCCATCCAATCTAATTTTACTCCTGACCACTCCCCTAAGATGAATTTCCACTTTACTCAGCCTTCTCATTCTTATGCTACACTCATTTCTATTGCACCATTGTTCAACTGCAATTTTCACTTCTTCTTTCAAGGCTCAACTCTTTCATTCAACAATGCCACTGTGTCAAAATAATAAAGTCCCAATCTCCCAGAAGATTTTAAATTCTTCATGGACAATGAAGTAAAAGAAGAAAACAAAACAAAACAAACAAACCCTCACAAATGAAGAACGTCTGGCAAATAAATTTAATTAGAAAGTTATGTAACAAAAACCTCTAGGATAAAGCCTAGGTTGTATTCAAAGGAAAATTCATCTTAAACTTTCTTATTAATAAAAAATAATTATAATGAATTACACATTCAAGTTTTCTAACAAGATATTTCTAACCAAAATAAACCTAGGGAAAAGAAGGAGGGAACACATAATGAAACAATGTAAAAGGAGTGATAAAGCAAATATGCAATAATAAAAGTGAGACAGTTCAGAATAAACCCAGGCATTGAGGACATTAAAATAATTATAAGAAACAAATTCAAATAACTCTAGGCTAATAAGTTTGGAAATCCAGGTGAGATGAATGATTTCCTGGGAATATGTAAATTTCTAAAATTGATTCAAGAAAAAGCTGAAAACCAAACAGCTTGATAATTACAGGGGAAAAAAATGGGAAAGCTGCCAAGGCCCCTTCCTTAAAATAGCACTAGGCTCCGATAGTTTTACTGGTGAATTCTATAAAACTTCAAGAAATACAAATCTTTGTAATACTGAAACAAGCACAGAGAAAGGAAAGGGAAAAACACAACCAAATTCATTTTATGAAGCAAATGATTTAGAAAAAAGAAAAGTCTGAAAAAGCAAGCACACAATTTAAATTACAATTACTTATGGTTTCTGATACAAAATTATAAAATGAAATCTTAACAAATAGTTAATGGACCACTAGAGACTCACTTGAAGAAGGCAAGAATGATTCATAATTAGAAGATTGTTAATATAAATCAAAATATTATTTGGTCCAAAGAGAAAAAACATACGAACACTGAGATACCAAACGACTGAAAAGGCATGCCTTTAAAATTCTCTATAGTTGTACTCTCCAAGAACTAAAAATAAACTCCTTATAAAAATACTTTAAATACAGCATTTAGTAAGCAGTGATGCAGAAAATAGCGTAGTTATAGAAAGAAGGCATGACAGCAAATGGTGCTGAGCAGGAATTCAGGAAGCCTGGGCTTTGGATTTACATCTCCAGTCGGACACCTCGCTGAACTGCAGGCTCTGACGTTCACCTGCCTTCCTGCCACCCCACTGGGACACTATGAGGTTTCCTGAACTTAATTTGTCCAAAACTGAAGTCTAGATTCCCTGCCTCAAACCTGCTCCTCTCCCAGTCTTAGCACATGGGAAATTCCATTCCTTCCACTGCTTGGACCAAAACCCTTGTCCTTCTTTCTCTCACATTCCACATCCAATCCACCAGCAAACCCTGGTGGTTCTGCCTTTGAAACGTAACCACTTCCACCCTTGCCTCTCCGCAAGCTGTGTTCCACACAACCGCCGCAGCAGGCTCTCCTTTTTCTTTTTAAAGTTTTAAGTCAGATCATGTTAATCCTTCGCTCAAAACCCTCCAAAGACTTCCTTCTCATTTGTCATAAAATTCCTCCTCCTTCCCATGGTCACCAAGGCCTCGTGTACTTCGGGACCCCCTTAGCCCCTCTCCCTCTTCTTTTATGTTTAATCTCATCTCTTACCCTCCTAGTCTCACTAATTCCACTCCAGGCACACTTCATCCCCAGCACCATGTCTCTGGGTGACACGATCCACTCCTCACAGCCTCTGTGTTTGCTGTTCCCTCTGCCTGGAGCATCTTCTACCACATCTCTACATGGTTTTCTCCCTCTCTTTCCACAGGACTTGTCTCAATTATCATCCTGCCAGAGAAGCCTTCCTTGGCTAACTTTTGAAAATAACACCTCTAGTTCTTCTGTTCCCTTAACCTGCTTTCTTTTCCTCCTCAGCACTTTCACTATCTGACATATATATTTGTTTGCCTCTCCCAACTAGAATATAAGCCCCATGAGAGCAGAAAATATGTAGGCTTTTGCTCACTATTATATCTCTAGTATTTAGCACATGCTAGGGGATCAATTAGTATTTGTGGAATAAATGGTCTTTATTCTGCTGTAATTAGTTGTAAGCCTTTGTGATTCTCAGTTTCTCCATCTGCAAAACTGAGTGAGATTAAATAACAGAATATTTTTAACATTAAAATTGTAAAATTTTTGTCACTTAAAAATAAGAGTTCTATTTATTATCTAAAATCCCAAGATGTGAGACTACTTTGGAAGCCAAAATTATTTGGGGTTTGCTACTTACTTTAAGGGTAACAGCTGCTGCCTTGATGATAAAATCGTTTACTGATACTTTGATGTCATCTGAAAGAAAAACAAGTGTATTAAAATTAATGTTCATAATAAAACTTTTAAATTAACCATTATGATTTCAAACTTTTAAATTATGGACTGCACTGACAAACAATGATAAAAAATATTACAGGTTTTGTTCGCTTAGTCATGGTTCCTCTGAGTAGAAAAACTTGCATTATATGAGGTCCTGGATTAATATTAACCATGAATATAAAAGTTTTCTCCTGATCCTGATTTACAGTTCTTTTAAACTGCTCAGATAGCATACACAAGAACTTAAAAGACACATGACAACCATAATCAGAGAGAAAAGATCCAAGTCCCATGTCTTGAAAAAGACAAATGGTCTGTCCATGGCATATATAGTCAGGAAGTTTACAAGATGATTCATTTTTTTCCCACATCCTTTTCAAACGTCCGTATTCTGTGTATTCTTTATAATACATGGATTATATTAGAACAGTGGTAGCTGTAGTCACTTTAAAGAAACAAATTTTAAATAGCGTTCAGAGCAGGGATGTTCAGAAATTTCTTTTTACTAACAAAGTGTACAATCAAAAAATTTAAGATCACTGCATTAAATAAGAGCTGCTTTTTAACTTAACAAAACAGGATATAGCAAATGCCAAAGATGAAGCAATGCTGGCGTGGGTCTTAATGCAATGAATAAAATGAGGTTCTCTGTCTAGTTTTATGGTGAATCCATTTAAATCAATTTCTTTCCAGTATAATGTTTTAAGATAAAGCTGGGGTCCCCTCCCTTCCCAAAGAGCTGATCTTAATGAAGCATTTGGTTTATACCTCTGCTTTTCCCAGTGCGTATGAAAGTGTTGAAAATGTAAACTACATTTGATTCTTTATTGCAACGGCTTCTATAAAAAGACTTTAAGATGGTATCTAGTCAGTTGATGGTATGTGGTAGGATATACAAATCCTGTTACTCTACTATGATGGAATTTTACATGAATGATATCTCATTCCAAAGGCATGCTAAGATTTCAGAAAGGGATTAGATGTATTACCATAAACCTAAATACTGTCAAACTGTCATGGTAACTGTCAGCTGCTCTTCTAATACACAGCTCTTACAATTCAGATTTCCTGAAACACAAGCATTTTTGTTTGTTTAAAACTCCTCTGGGAGCAGAAAAACAAACGGATTTCCAGTGCTTAGAGACTTAATGATACCCACATACAGAAAATTTGGTCTGCATAAATTCAAATATGCAGACAGAATATTTTATGAACACACTCTGCTTACCTCTCATGCCTCCCTCTGCCTCCTTCTCACTTTACCTACTATCCATAGGTGTCCACAGTGAAGACTTCCCAAACCATTTACCAGCTGATGGTTTCCAAATCTACTGCCCAAGTCCATAGGCCTCACTTAAAATTCCCTGCCCTCATCATACTCCTACATTTGACCACTTTCTTCATCTTGAAACATGTTCTCTTTCTGATTTCTGTGTCACAGACTCTCCTGGTTTTATTCCACTCTCTGCTTACTTACTTTCAGTCCCTTTCTCTCCATGTTGACATCTCGCCAGGTGAGAACTTTCAGTTTGATACCATTTATATGATAATGATTCCTCCAAATTCTATCTTGAATCCTGGTGTATCTGGAGCTTCAGACTCATACACCCTCTTTCTCACATGACATTTTCTACTTACGTGTCTGATAGGCATCTCAAATCTAATATGTGCAAAGGATATTTTTTTCAAGTTCCTTTATTTTAAAATAAAATTTAAAACTTACAGAAAAGTTTTTTTTGCTTTTTTTTTTGTGGACATTTTCAAACATACAGAAAGACCATTGGTAACATTTATTAAGAAGAGAGTAGGAAATAAATTGTGAGGGAATATCAAATATTCTCCTTTGCATACTGTTACAAAACAAAGTGTGGAACATACTTATAGAATGTTATATACTATAACCTTTAATGTGGGCCCTTTGAAGACTCATCAAAAAATCCCTAATTGAAAGGACATACCAAACCTGGTCCATGCAAAGATACTACACTAATCCATACCTCCAATGAAATAGTACTGTTTCCTGCCTCATGAGAGGAAGGAATCAGGAAAATTATTCCCACAATAACCTCTATATCATAACTAGCAAGTATGATTTGAAACCTGTAAGGAGAGCTTTCAGGGTTAACTTTTTGAACATTGATCACTCTGTCTAAAACAGCTTTCCACTTAGTTCCTTGGACTATTAAAATCTGTCAGGTTTGAAAGCCTGTACCTATACTGATTTTTCAGTTCTGCTTTCACTTAGGATGCAGAAAGCCACAAGAGAAAGTTGTGCCCATCCAAATAGGGTGGGAGGAAAAGCAATATAAACTACAAAATCATAACTTTCTTGAGCTTATTAGGGAGCTGAGGTTACATCTAAGCGTTACAATTATGTCTAACATTTATAATTAGAGTTCCAAGGAGAAAACACATGAAGCAGAAGATATAGTTAAAAATAACTGTATCTGGGAGTTTTCCAAAATTAATGAAAGACAACAAACCACAAATCCAAGAAGCTGAGAGAAACCCAGACAGGATAAATGCAATAGGGAAAAAACAAAAAACAAAAAATGTTAGGCATATAATAGTCAAGCTGCTATTGGAGAAAATCTTGAAGGCAACCAGAGAGAAAGAAAACATTATATACAGGGAAACACAGATTAAGAATGGCAGCAGATATTCTGCAAGTCAGAAGATAATGGAATGGTATCTTTAAGTAAAAATACTGGGGGGAAAAAACTTATTTACTCAAAATTTTATACCCAGCAAAAGTATCTTTCAACAAGGAAGGAGACACACCCATTAGAATGACTACTATCAAAATCACAGAAATAACAAGTGTTAGTGAGGATACAGAGCAACTGGGACCCTGATTTGCATTGATGATAAGAATGTAAAATGATGCAGCCACAACAGAAAACAGTATGTGAGTTCCTCAAAAAGTTAGAGTTAGAATTACCACATGATTCAGCAGTAACACTTCTGGGGATACAACCACAAGATCTGAAAGTAGAGATGCAAAGAGATATTTGTACATCCATGTTCACAGAAGCATATTCATAAAAATCAAAAGATGGAAGCAACCAACTGTCCATTGACAGATAAATGAATACATAGAATGTGGAATATACATAAAATGGAATATCATTCAGTCTTAAAATGGATGAAAATTCTAACATATGCTCATTGTGAATGAACCTTGAGAACAATATGCTACGTGAAATAAGCCTGTCACAAAAGGACAAGTACTGTATGAGTCCACTCAAATGAGATGCAGAGTGGTCAAATTCACACAGAGAGTACAATAGTGGCTGCTCGAGGCTGAGGGGAAAGGGGAACAGGGAGTTGCTGTTTAACAGGTATAGTGCTTCAGTTTTACACAATGAAGAGTTTTGTGAATATGCACGGTGGCAATGGCTGCACAACAATATGAATGTACTTAATACCACAGAACTGTATATGTAAAAATGGTTAAGATGGTAAATTTTATGTTATGTATATTTCACCAGAATTCATAATTCAAGGGATGGAAAAAAATGAAGGAGAAATAGACTTTTCCAGACAAAAACTGAAAGAATTTTTTGCCAGCCAACCTGTACCACAAGAAACATTAAGAAAGTTCTTCAGGCAGAAGTATGATAGCAGATAGCTAGCACTCTGGTTCTGTACAAAGAAATGAAGAATGATGAAACTGGTAAAAATACATACAAGTATAAAAAGACATTTTTCCCCTCATTTTTAAAACTTTAAAATATAGTTGATTTGCTAAAGTAAAAAAAAATTATACATATATTCTGCTGACATCATATGTAGAAGTAAAGCATAAGAATAACAGCATAAAGGATGAGGGAGGGAATACAGGCATACTGTAAGGTGCTTACATTATACATGAGGTGGTGCAATAAAAATATGAAGGTAGATGTGATAAAGAATTATACTGTAAACCCTAAAGGAACCACAAAAATAAACAAACATGAATAAATAAATAATGAGAGAGGAGAGAGAGTAAAAAGAAATAAAATGGAATCATAAATAATCCAAAATGAGATAAGAAACAGGAAAAACAGGAAGAATGATGGGACAAAAACAAAGGACAATAAATGGTACAAAATTTTACAAAGGAAAAACAAAGAACAAATCATTAAATGTGAATAGTTTAAATCTTAATAAAAAGAAACCACAGGATTGGATTAAAAAAGTGAGAACCAATTATATGCTGTCTGCAAGGAACCATCTAAATACAGGCATACCTCATTTTATCGTGCTTTGTTTTACTGCCCTTTGCAGATATTGTGATGGGGTTTTTTTGTTTTTGTTTTTTTTAACAAATTGAAGGTTTGTGGCAACGCTGCTTCAAGGAAGTCTACTGGTGCCATTTTCCCAACAGCATTTGCTTGCTTCATGTCTCTGTGTCATATTTTGGTGATCCTCTCAATATTTCAAACTTTTTCATTATTACTATATTTGTTATGGTGATCTGAGATCAGTGATCTTTGATGTTACTATTGTAATTGTTTTGGGGTGCCACGAACCACACACATAGAAGGTGAACTTAATTGATAAATATTTGCGTGTGTTCTGACTGCTCCACTGACTGGCTGTTCCCCTGTCTCTCTCCCTTTCCTCAGGTCTCTTTATTCCCTGAGATTCAACAATGTTGAAATTAGGCCAATTAATAACCATACAATGGCCTCTAAGTGTTCAAGTGAAAGGAAGAGTCACACATCTCTCACTTTAAATCAAGAGCAAAAAGTGATCAAGCTTCGTGAGGAAGGCATGTTGAAAGACAAGGTAGGCCGAAAGCTAGGCCTCTAGTGCTGAACAATTAGCCAAGTTGCAAATGAATGCAAAGGAAAAGTTCTTGAAGGAAATTAAAAGTGCTGCTCCAGAGAACACATGAATGATAACAAAGCAAAACAGCCCTACTGCTGATAGGAAGAAAGTCTGAGTAGTCTGGATAGAAGATCAAACCAGCCACAACATTCCCTTAAGCCAAAGCCCGATCCAGAGCGAGGCCCTAACTCTTCAATTCTGTGAAGGCTGAGAGAGGTGAGGAAGCTGCAGAGGAAAGTTTGAAGCCAGCAGAGGTTGGTTCATGAGGTTTAAGGAAAGAGCCATCTCTATAACATAAAAGTGCAGGGTGAAGCAGTAAGTGCTGATGTAGAAGCTGTAGCAAGTTATCCAGAGGATCTAGCTAAGAACATTAAGGAAGATGGCTACATTAAACCACAGATTTTCAATGTAGATGAAACAGCCTTCTATTGAAAGATGTCATCTAGGACTTCATAGCTAGAGAAAGTCAGTGCTGGCCTCAAAACTTCAAAGGATAGGCTGACTCTCCGGTTAGGCAGCTGGTGACTTTAAGTTGAAGCCAGGGCTCATTTACCATTCCGAAAATCCTAGGGCCCTTAAGAATTATGCTAAATCTACTCTGTCTGTGCTCTATATATAAATGGAACAAAAAAGCCTGTATAACAGCATACAGTTTACATACTGTTTACAAAACAGTTTACTGAATATTTTAAGCTCCCTGTGGAGACCTACTGCTCAGAAAAAAAGATTCATCTTAAAATATGATTGCTCGCTGACAATGCACCACATCACCCAAGAGCTCTGACAGAGATGTACAACAAGATTAATGTTGTTTTCATGCCTGCTAACAATCCATTATGCAGCCCGTGGATCAAACATAATTTCGACTTTCAAGTCCTTGTAAGAAATACATTTCATAAGGCTATAGCTGCCATATATAGTGATTCCTCTGATGGACTTGGGCAAAGTAGGTTGAAAAACTTTGGAAAGGATTCACTATTCTAGCTGCCATTAAGAACATTTGTAATTCATGGAAAGAGGTCAAAATATCAACATTAGCAGGAGTTTGGAAGTTGATTCCAATCCTCATGAATGACTTTGAGGGGTTCAAGACTTCAGTGGAGGAAATAACTGCAGATGTGGAAGAAACAGCAAGAAAACTAGAATTAGAAGTAGAACCTGAAGATATGATTGAATTGCTGTAATCTCATGATAAAACTTGAACAGATGAGGAGTTGCTTCTTACTGATAAGGAAGGAAAGTGGTTTCTTGAGATGGAATCTACTGGTGAAGATGCTGTGAAGACTGTAGAAATGACAACAAAGGATTCAGAATATTACATAAACTTAGTTGATAAGCAGCAGCAGGGTTTGAGAAGATTGACTCCGCTTTTGAAAGAAGCTCCACTGTGGACAAAATGCTATCAAACAGCATCGCTGCTACATAGAGTCGTTTGTGAGAGGAGAGTCAGTCAATCAATGTAGCAAACTTCACTGCTGTCTTATTCTTTTAAAAATGCCCACAAGCACCCCACCCTTCAGCAACTCCCACCCTGATCAGTCCACAGCACTCAACATCAAGGCAAGACCCTCCACCAGCTGAAGGCTCAGATGGTGGTTAGCATTTTTAGCAATAAAGTATTGTTAGACATAATGCTACAGCACACTTAACAGACTATAGTATAGTGTAACATTACTTTTATATGCACGGGAAACCCCCCCCCCCCAAAAAGTGTGACTTGCTTTATTGAAATATTTGCTTTATTGTGGTGGTCTGGAACTGAACTCATGATATCTGTGAGGCATAAAGATACACATACATTCAGAGTAAAAAGATCTAAAAAGACATAATATAAAAACACTAACCAGAGAAATCTGGAATGCCTATACAAATATCAGGCAAAGGAGGTTTGAGGATAAGGAATATTATACCAGGAACAGACAGGACATAACATGCTGGGTCTATTCACCAAGAAAACATAAAAATCCTAAATGTGTATATGCCTAATAACAGACCTTCAAAATACATGAAGCAAAAACTGATAAAAACTAAGAGGGGAAACAGAGAAATTTACAATTATAATTAAGGATTTTAACGCTTGTCTTTCAAGAATTAATAAAACAAAGAGACAGGAAATCAGTAAGTTTACAGAAGGTAAGAACAATAGTATCAACCAACTTCACCTAACCAACATTCATAAAACACTCCTCAAAAGTAGGACACACATTCTTTTCAAGGACACTAACCTTTGTGCTCCATTGCCTGTGCTTAGTTGTGCTGGCTCTGCATCTTTGTAAAAGAATATTGCCTATAGCCTGAAATATACATAATAGCCCTTTCTCAATGCTCTGCAGGCAGAGGCTTGAACTTTAAAGGTGTAACACTTTTCCATTCACATAGAGATAAAAAGTTGCAGAGCAGAAAGCAATTGCCTTGTTGGAGGTTTACAGGAACATTGTGACCAGACCCACCCTGGCACTGTAGAACAAAGGATTCCAGCACCAAAAAGACTGCAACAACCAGTCACATCCCCTACCCTTTTAGTATAAAAGAAGCCTGAATTCTAACTCGGGTAAGATGGTTCTTTGGGACACAGTCTGCCATCTTCTTGGTCTGCTGACTTTCTGAATAAAGTGCTATTACTTGCCCTAACATCTCGTCTCTCAATTTATTGGCCTGTTGTGCAATGAGCAGTATGAGCTTGGACCAGGTAACATTATGACTATAAAATAAATCTCAACAAACTTAAAAAGATTTAAATCATACAAAGTGTCTCCTCTAAACACAGTGGAGTTAAACTAGAAATCATAAAAGAAAGAAAACTGAAAAGTCCCTAAATATTTGGAAATTAAACTTATACTTCTAAATAACTGATTAATCAAAAAAGAAATCACAAGGGAAATTCGAAAACATCTTGAACTGAGTAGGAAGGAAAATAAAACATGCCAAAATTTATGGGATACAGCTGAAGCACTGCTTAAAGGGAACTTAAAATTAAAAGTATCATATGCTTACGTTAGAAATAAAGTTTATTATATTATATTGACATCGATTTTCACCTTAAGAAACTAGGGAAAAAAAGGGCAAATTAAACCCAAAGCAAATAGAAAAAATGAAATAATAAAGATGAGAGTAAAAATCAATAAAAACAAAATTATAGAAATAGAAAAAGTTAGTAAAATCAAATAACTGATTCTTTAAAGAGATCAATAAAATTGATAAACCTCTAGCCAGACTGACCAAGAAAGTTAGAAGACAAATTACTAATATAAAAAATGGTAATCTCATCTCCTTTACAGTCATCCCTCCGTATCCGAGGGGAACTGGTTTCAGGACATGCCTTGGATACCAAAATCCGAGAATGTTCAAGTCCCTTGCATGAAATGGTGTAGTATTTGCATATAACCTACATGCATCCTCCCGTAAACTTTAAATCTCTAGAATACTAGTAATAGTTAATATGATGTAAATGCTATGTAAATAGTTACCAGTGCATGGCAAATTCAAGTTCTGCTTTTTGGAGCTTTCAGGAATTAAAAAAAAATATGGTTGGTTTAATTCACAGATGCAGAAGCTGTGAATATGAATGGCCAACTGTATACACAGATGTTAAAAGTATAATAAGGTAATACGATCAACTTAATGCCAATAAATTTGATAACTTAGAAGACATAAACAAATTCCTTGAAAAACACAAACTACCAAAGGTCATTCAGGAAAAAATAATAACTCTTAATCTATTTTAAAAGTTGAATTTGTAGTTAAAAATCCCCATAAAGAAAATGGCATTCCTAAAAAGCTTCATTGGTAAATTCTACCGAACAATTAAAAAACAAGTAAAACCAATTCTACTCAAACTCTTCCAGAAAATAAAGGAGTAAGAAACATTTCCCAACTTATTCTGTGATAACAAACCCAGTAAAAAAAAACTCAATAAAAGAAAAACGACAGACTAGTATTTCTCATGTGCACAGGTGTAAAGATTCTTAGCTAAATTTTAGAAAATGGGATCAAGCAATATATGAGAAAAGTTTTAATGATTAAATGAATTTTAATCTCACTCACTAATGAGGAATCACTCATGTAAACAAAGGTGATTCAACATGAAATCAACCAATGTAATTCATCATATTAACAAGGAAAGAAAAGATTACTTCAAAAGATACAGAAAAAGTATTTGAAAAAACTTAACATCCATTCATGCTTAAAATTCTTGGCAAATTAGGAATACAAATTTCTTCAACATGAAGAAGAGAATCTTCCAAAAAATCAACAGCTAATGTTAAAGACTGAATGCCTTCCCCCAAGATCAAGAACAAGGCAAGAATGTTTGCTTTTATCACATACTGATCACTGTAACAGAGGTCCTCGACTGTGCAATAAGGCAAGAAAATGAAATAAAGCCATACAGATTGGAAAGAAAAAAATAAAACATCAGATCATTCTAAAAATTTATATGTCTCTCAGCAACCTTAGTTTTAATAGATTTGGAGAAGGAACATTACAAATTTAATAACATGAAAGTACATTTTGAAGAGGAACTAAAAGTTAAAATGTATAAAGAGTGATATCTAAGATATATTTACAATCTAAAACATTCTTAAATCAGTTTTGGATTTTATACTTTCTAAAATGTTAAGAACTGCTTCTTCAGATATCGTACCAAAAAGTATGACGTATTCAATACTATATAACCAATTTATTATAGGAAAAGAGAACCAATTCTCTTCTAGGGCTAAAATATGCCCAGATGATGAAATTGATGGAAAAAGCTACACAATGTACATTTCATAAAAAGAAGATCTCATAATAGTTAGTTTAGCATGTGTATTACATTAAATAAACTCAACTTTACTAACCTCTGACCAGATTTTGCCTAACTTTTAAAACAGCTCCAAGGTCACAGTCAGTAGTAGCATATGCATGAGGTACAGTACGTTTAGATTCAGTTAACCTCTTGGCAATAACTCTTCTAATATTGCTAGTAGGGATTTCAGTGAACGTGCCCTGAAAAGAATAACATGTCCGTTAAACCATAAATAGAATTGGAAAAAACAAGCAAACAAACTGTAACTGAAATCCAGTCTCAATGACCTAACTTATGAAAATAAAAATTAATACAGTAAAACTGTTATGAAAAATTCTTAGTATAAGAAGAAATATAAGAAATCTGAGGAATTTTAACTTTATAGTATATGACTGTAGAAAAAAGCAGAAAAATTCATGTTTCAGTTGTGAATGGAACATCTATGTTACCATGTTTAAGATGATTAAAAAGAAATGTACCAAATCATGAATTAACCCCTCATGGGTGTGCTTATTGAGATATCACCTACAAGCCTGTAAGTAGCTTCTGTTACAAACATCACTTCTTAATAAAACTCAAAGCAATCAATAAATCAACAACTACAGGCAATTTTTACTTGTAAAAATGGCATACATGAGAAAAAGGAATTCAAAATACTAGATAATCTGCCAAATTATTTCTATTTTGGTTTGTAATTAAAAATAAAAAATCACGTGAGCATCTTATTTCCAAGAAACTCATAAAGTATGAATGGGATAATAAAATCTTCCTGTAACTTTACTGTAGCTTTTCCATTCTGTTCCTTGAACCTCTAACAAAAATATGATGGACCTTAAATTATGTCTAATTCCTTCTTTGTCCTTCACTCCATTCTGGGACTGGATTACAATCACTTAGGATAATACAAATCAGCCAAAAGTACAGCTGACTTCTTTTTTTATAAATGCTTTCTGTGGGAATTAAACATCTTATGTTAGCAAAATACTTGATCAAATAAAATAAATGCTGTCTACATACTGTAAGAATTTTAAAGGTTTATCTTTCAAATTTGAATAACTTACTTTTTAAAGAAATAAGATTTGATTACTCATAAACTTTTGTGTATGTAGTCACGAATCATTAATGTACATTTAAAAAATCTGTTTCTCATGAAACTTGTACTGTTTTTAATTCTTTTAAAATACTATATTGGAATATATTTCTCCATCAGAAAAAGCAGTGTAGGTTTATTTATTTATTTTTTTCAGTGCCCATTCAGCTTTATAACAAACCTGATTATCTTGCATTTCTTCTGATGGGAAGCAAATGACATAAAAGGTACTAAGAAAGGGAGACAGAGAGGCAAAATGGAGTAATTTGAAAACAAAAAAGGGCTATTACATGTATCCAAGAAGTAAAGAATGATTAGCTATACAATCTCTATAGTTATTCACAGTAAGACTATCAACTTCCTTAGTCAAAAAATAAAACATATGCACAAAAGGGAGCTGGTATCAGCTACCAATTATTAGTATCACACCCAAGAAAAAAAAGATATGAAAAGTATCACGATTATAGAGCATATACATGGCACTGACATTGTGGAACTTGTGGCAAATTTAAATTGAACCATAATTCTATTTGGAAGTTATTAGCACTGTACAAACAAATCTGGTTTATGGAAATGTGCAAAACAAAACATTTAGAGAATTTTTGTCTTCATCACTTTGAGCTACTACTATAATGGACTGGTAAAAGAACTCATGAAACATAGAGCAATGGTTCTTATTTTCTCTCTCGCTTAAATCTGAAAAATAAAAATCTACTCAGATGACATTACCGCTACATTAGGCTGTCCAGGAGTTGATACTGGAGGGATCATTGGCCGGGGATAAGATGGCCTGGCTGTGGCCTGTGGGGGTAAAGACGCTGTGGGAATGGTTGGCGGGGCCGGGGTGGGTCTGGATTCAGTGATCTTGCCCATCTGTTTCAACTGGACCAGTTTGAGAGCATCCCTGGAGATAAGAAGGGAGTTAGATAACCATGATTAGCAACCAGGAATATAAGAACGTTCAGAAAATGGAGGCCAGATGTGAAGGGAAAATAAAGAAATACACTGATGTCAAGGCTACAATGCAAAACGATTTGAGCTAGACAAGAAAATCTTGTCTCTTACCTGTTCTACTGATTCATATTTGTCCAATGGCTACAATATTTGCACATTCTTAAAATAAAACAACAAACAGATTTTATCAAAGTATTGGGTGTAGACAGTTATTTTTTAAAGGAAAATCAGTCTTTTTTTCTGGGGGCAGTGTCTTTTGGTAGATGAGCAATCCATAAATTAAGCTATACCCTCATTCATGGTATTTGTGAAATAATTTTCATATAGCATTCAGAAAGTGTCAAGCTTACTGTACCTATGACTTTCATTAGAATATTTACTAAAGCATTGTTTATCCTGGTACAAATTAGCTTGTTTATGGCCAGGAAATCATACCTCAAATGCTATCAGCACAATCTAATGTAATAAACCTAAGCCACAGCAGCATTTAGAATGAAAAATAACTAAACAAGTAACAGACTTGCCTTTGTATTACTCTGCAAAACAAAGGTGTCTTTGTTTATTACAAGGATATAATTAGACTACTATTCAAACTCTCAATCCATTCGAAGTTACAGTGGTATAAAGTCATGTACTTCCTTAAACAAAACAGTTTTTTCAAAAATTTTAATCTGACAATTCTAAAGTACTTAAAAATGTTTTAAATCTAAAAATTTTTTTAAATGAAAAAGGTTTTACATAGTCTAAAAACAACTTCAGGGTAACACAAATCTAAAGGCAAATTATATTTTTAAAATTTCTTAAACACAGTTAATGATTTGATATTATCACATACTAGGCAGAACTCTGAGATGGCCCCAATATTCCTGTTCCTGGTGTACATACCCCATATAATCTCTCTTGAGTGTGGGTGGGCCTGTGAATATGATGGATGTCACTGCCATGATTAGGTTACATTACATGACAAAGGTGATGGATTTTGTAGACATAATTAAGGTCCCAAAGCAGCTGACACTGAGTTAATCAAAAGGCAAACTATTCTGAAAGGGTCAGACATATCAGATAAGTTCTTTAAAAGGAACAGGGAATTCCTAAAAGAAGAAATTTGAATGGCGATTCTCCTGCTTGCATTGGAGAAGCAAACAGGCATTTATGAACTGTCTATGGAGGTGACCTCGTGGCAAAGACCTGAAGGAGGCCTCCAGGAGGTGACAGCAATCCTTGGATGACAGCAAGCAAGAAAACAGGGCTCAGACTCCTACTACCCCAAGGAACTGAATTCTGCCAACAACCATGTGAACCTGGAAGAGGGCTCCAACCTTCAGATGAGACCCTAGCCCTGGCTGACACCTTGATTTCAGCCTTGTGAGACCATGAGCTGGAAACCCAGTCATGCTGGACCAGGACTTCTGACCCACAGCACTGTTAGATAATAAGTGGGTGTTGTTTTAAGCTACTAAGTTTGTTGCAATTTGTCATGCAGCAATAGAAAATTGACACAGGCAGGAATGCTCTAGCTTGGGGAGGCATCATGGGAGGGATCTCCCAATGTGTACTGGTACATTTTTAAGGAAGGAGAGTCTATGATTTTTGTATCAGGTCCAGAAAGGGATACATGAACTTAACATTAAGTGCAAGTAAGTTACTTGTTTCAAAATTAAAGAGCTGACATTTAAGATAAGAGGTCAGACTGACAAAGAAATCTTAAAGGTTGTATCATCCTTGATCTTTAAGTACTGAAAGAGGGAATAGAAGTGGAAAAGTGAGCCTCTTGTGTATGTACTGTGGTTATGTTAATGTAATCTTACACCAGCCATGTGAGGGAGGTATTATTATTCCCACTTTATAAATGAGTAAGTAGGTTCAAAGAGGTTAAATTCCATTTCTAAGTCAGTAGTTCTCAAGCACCTACTCTACTCTAGGTGTTGAAAATATAATGTTAAAACACTTCCTAACAAGGAGTGTTATTCTATAGGAGAGTCATACATTAAGCAAGTAAACAAATGAACAGATAGTGAAGAAAATAAAGCAGAGTAATGAGATTGAGAGTCATGAGTGAGAGGAGGTGTTACTTTAAAACAGGGCGGTCAGGGAAGGACTGAAGAAATAATATTTCTGTGGACGGACATGAAGGAGCAAGTCTCAAGAACAGCTGGGAAAAGCATGTTTCTAGGCAGAGAACAGCAAGTGTAAAGGCAGGGAAATTAGGGCTTCTAAGAACAGAAGGAAGCCCAGCGTAGAAGGAGGGCAGTGAACAAAGTGGAGAGGGTTTAAAGGTGAAGCTGAAGAGGTAGGCAGCTAGGAGCTGCCAGGGCTGGGACCAAACCTGGGTATGGCCAACTCCAAAGCCTGTGTATTTCCTACTACCTTTCTAATACCTGTGTAGAGTATGCCAATTAAACTAGGCAGAGTCGGAACAATTTTTTCTCAGAAGAAAAGGCTAGAATAGAAAGAATTAAATGAGCATATCTCAGATTAACAGCAATTCTGTGATTGAATGAAGAATAGTTATCTACCCAGTCTGAAGTAGCTAAAAGTAGGACCTCCAGACAAAGGCCCTTCACCTACCACACAAAAAGTAACAGGAACATAACTAGAGGCAAGCCTGGTTCTCCAAGGGTGAGCCACAAACCTGATGGTAACGGCAGAAAGACTGAGTGTCCTGGGGAATGAGCTTATGTGCTCTTAAGGCTTTTTAACAGCAAGCTTACTCCTATTTGGAAGTTAATTTTAAATTTACTTATGATATTTCTAACCCAAAGCACCATTTTTCCAGTTAATTGTTATAATATTTACATGTGAAGTAAATGACTGCCCTACAATTCCTGGGGATTTATGTCATGAGTCAAAACCTTGGCCACATAGATAAAAGTGTGAGCACTGATATAAGATAAGGCCTTTTGTTTTAGAAAAATACCTTTAACAAAGGATATTTCACGTTTAAGAGCTGTTACAGTCTAACATTACTAGTCCCCTTTCATCATATAAGGTAATTAAATACATCTCTCTAACAAAATCTATTATTAATCTGGGTTTTAAAGTTTAGCATCAGAATGGCATATACAAAACACACTGATTTCTTTATACAGGGATCACTAGTGTACCCGCAGTAATCGGTTAAAAACAAACAAACCAACAAACAACAACAACAGAAAACAATGAACACTTGAGGAGACTAAAAAAATCTAAAATAATGCCTGAATACATTCTACTTTAAAAAAGGTTGGTCACACTAAATAGACATATTCTTATTTCACTATCAGCATTACTATTACTTACTATTTTTATCAAGAAAAGGCAGTTTAGGTTCATCCCTGAAAGTAAGTAGGAGTCATGAATTATAAACAAGCAGAAAAGCAATTCTGGCCATGGGCTCACAGTAAACTTTTATTGCTGATTTTACACTTATATACCTCATAAAGTATGAATGTTAATTATTGTTTAATAACAGCCAATAATTTAGTTTCTGTAATGCAGAGAAAGATTTTTAATGATTTCTGTCCATTAAGTAATTAATCAGTCTAAGCTTGAAGAATCAGGTAGATATTAAAAGCTATAAAAATTAGAGAAAAACTGATACACCATTCACTTCTGCTTTGGGCATTCACTTAAGGCAGAACCTTCTCTACCAGATCCCTTAAGTCATTTGGGTGTGCTACGAATTAGTTTTAAAAAGAAGTATCACTGAAAACATACTAGACATGACTGTCATGCCTACTATATTTGTGATGCTGTGATACGAACACAAACATTAGCTACAAGTATGACTTAAGACGTAGATATGCCAAAGAAGTTAGGCTATAGGCCAAGAACCTCCAACAGTGTCCCTGGCACTTGTTTTCCTAAAACAGTTATATGTACAGGCAAAGCAAAGTCTACATGCTTTTGCACAACATATACTCTGAGCAATATGCTTGCTTTCATGAAACATTAAAATAGCAACCATGACACTTATGGTTTTCTTCATAAATACAATGGGTCAGAGACACCTCCTCAGCTCTTGCAACTGACTTTTCTCTTCTACTTGCACTTTTAGTTGACAAGGTAAGAAGGAAGGATGTCTCTCATTATTTCAAGAATGTGTGCTAAGGTATTTGGGGCACAGCTTACGCTGAAGGCTGCAATTTGTCAGTCTTACCAGAAGATGACATTTCTGTAGATGACACGAGGACAAATTTTTTTTCCAAAGCTCACCTCAGTGTTTAACTTAAAACAAGGTATCTTTAGTAGTATACAAAGTAAATATTCTCAATAATGCATGCTTTAAAGATCCATTTTCCTCATGAAATCTTTTGTAATATGTCATATTTTAAAGACCGAAGGGTCTTTATAGGGAGTTAAAGGGCAGGGAAAGGACTGGGTAATAGGCAGACAAAGATAGCAAAGATATCAAAATCATAACTCTGTAATAGTGCTTCCTTAGGGTATCCAACAAGATAACACCATTCTGTCCTCCTTAGGAGATGTCAGACTACTATGATAACTTTCAACTTGGGTTTAAAAAAGATACTTGTTCATCGTATATGTATTAAGCACATACGGAAAGAGAAGGGAAAGAAAAAGAAAACTCTACTTCTTTACCCCACTGCCGTCACACCACTGATTTGCCCTCTAAACGGTCACTAATCACCAACTTCAAGAGCCTTTTCTCAGAGCCCTTCCTCCTTGACTTATATCCATCTCCTAGATATCCTCCAATACAGAAATTTTTGCCTTCTAAAATGTTTACCTACTGATGATCTCAACTGTAACTATCACTTTATCAAACCTTCCTCTCTAGTACCAAACTATCTCCCAAGATGCATCTTCACCTCACTGATTCTAATATCTGGAATCTGGTTTGTCAGCACTGACAATAAGCTTCAAACCAAACACATTAGTTATTCCACCAAGACAAATGCTTCTGCAAATCCCTTATTTCTATTTATGGGGCCAAAATGTCATCACCTGGAACAGAATCCCAAGTTCCTCCCTTGACTCATTGCTATCCTGGTCTGTGCTCTACATTCTATCCTTTACAGGCTTCTGGATTTTCTCCTTATAATGCTGTATCCATCAGTGATCTCTCTTTTAGGTTCCTACCCACATTTGAGTATTCATTCTCTCTTAGCTAGACTACTTTATGAGCCTATTAATTTATCTCCTTACCTCAAGTCTTTTTCTGCTCCAATTTATCTTTCACAAATTTGCAAAATTGATCTTTCTAAGTTACATCTATGATTATTTTACATTTCATCAAATCTTCAACAATTAATGAATTAAATATAGACTCTTTATCTTATCCCTCAGATATATATGGGTAAGTCTACCATGTTATAAAGAAAGTTGTTTTCTCCCATTTTTACAGACAGAGACTTTTTCATTAAGGTATGGACTGGTAGAAGATTAACAAAATTAAGATACAAGTAGTATATACTAAATAAGGATTAATGTGGGGAAAAAACTAGGCTTAACTACCTATCAGGATTCTTTATTTTAATTTTTTATGGCTAAGTGAAACTTTTAAGTCTTTTAATTAAAAATCCACAGTCCAGGATGCTGCATTTCAGCCAGGGGTCAGAACAGCTGATTTCCAACTCATGTGAGTATGTTGGCACAAACTTCACACTATATGTTTAAGAAAACCACACACACCTGTCTGATTAACAAATCAGTAAGGCTGAAGTACAGATAAATGAGAATATCTAAGAATTAAAGGGTATTGCTTTCATTAAAAGAAATATCCAACAATAAACCAATGCTTTAATGAAGAGTAAAATAATCCAATGAAAAGAAAGAAAAGTCACCTGGTTTGCCACTTAATAATTTCATAACTTTGCTCTACCTCACCTTGTAAAAATTTCTGCCAAATACTACTGATCACTTTTATCAATAGTAGATAAACAGGGAATAAGCATATTGCTTTAAAACATTAACTCAATTTGAAAATTTAATATTACTCTAGTAGAAATGTGGCAGACACCACTATAGCAATTTCACATTAGCTCATATGCCTATTTGATTAACCTGTCTTCCTCACCAGACTAATTTTCAATAGAGCAGGGGTCATCTGTTTTAACATATTCTTGAAAGACACAAAAGTTAAACAAATAGAAACACATAGTGTTCTTGAACAGGAAGACTCAACATCATAAAGATTTCACTTCTCCCAAAGTTAATTTAAAATGTGCTACAATCCCAATAAAAAGAACATAGTCTTCCTGCCCAACCCCACCAGTAGGGCTAGACAAATTGTTTAAAATTCATTTGGAAGAATAGTAAAATAAAAATAAACCAAGAAAACTGGTTTACTGAAAAAGAAGAGAAAGGATAGCTCTATCAGATTTTAAAGCTTACTATAAAATATTTCTAATTAGTAGTGTGGTCCTAAAAAAGTGAGGTACTAATTCACGGACAGACTGAGAAACGGAATAGAAAAGAAAATCTAAAATGAGACCCAACTGCCTATGGAAATTGCTTTGATTGTACACGTGAGCAAAATCCAAATGGGTTAAGAATGAATTTTTTTCTTAAACTATGCTTCAGAAATTTAAATGTGATTGCATGATTATTTCATACAAACTTAAAAACAATATAAAGATTCACCATTTTGCACTCTAATTTTCTCCATTTATCATCATTTCTAAGGTTCTGGCTTAGTTATCAAATTAGAACTATTTTTCAGTAACGCTGCAATTATTCAAAAAACAACCCTTGCATAAAATACATTTTATGCTGACAAAAGCAATTAAAAGTACAAAAGAACAGTGTATTTCCTTTTAAATCTTAATGCTAAATAAGCCCTTCTTTAAATACTTTCAGAAAAAGATGATCATGATAAATAATGGAACTGGTTATTACAAAAAGCACACACGTACTCTTTAGTGAATATCCCCCGAGGGCCAGTGGCTGTGCCCTGGTTAGCATCCAGTGCGTGTTTTTCCAGAATATTGCGGGCAGCTGGACTTAAACGGAACCTAAAGAAAACATGAAAATTAATGGAACCAATGAACACTTATATTTGATTCAAATATATCTAAATGTCCACAGTTTTGCTGAGAATTAGAAAAATTAAAACATAATAAAGCTAAAATGACTCCCATAGTGACAGTCAAATAAATTAATCTGTACTAACCTGGTTTATTTTACTATGAAAACATTTTCATACAAATTTAACTAGTTATTATTTCAAAACACTTTTAATAAGAATAAATATTCATAGGGAGAAAGCTTCTATTTTGACTAATCACTTTTCACATGGCTCCTCACCACATACATCAATAAGAAACTATGTTGTTCCTTCATGTTTTTTTTATTATAGTAAAATGTATGTAAAATTTACCATTTTAAGCATTTTTAGGTGTTATAATTGAGTGGGATTAAGTACAATTACAATGTTGTACAACCATCACCACCACCCATCTCCAGAACTTTATCATTCTCCCAAAATGAAGCTCTGTACCAATTAAACAGTAACTCCCCATCCCTCCCAGCCCCTGGCAACCATCATTCTACTCTCTATCCTTACTAATTTGACTACTCTAGGTAACTCATATAAGTGAAATCATTCATCATTTGTCCTTTTGTGATTGGTTTATTTTACCTAGCATATCTTCAAGGTTCGTCCACGTTACAGTATGTGTCAGCATTTCCTTCCTTTTTAAGACTAACATTCCATTGTATATATATAGCACATTTTAGACATACGGGATATTTCCATCTTTTGGCAATTGTGAATGCTGCTGCTATGAGCATGGGTATATAAATATCTCTTCAAGACCCTGCTTTTAATTCCTTTGAGTATATCCAGAAAAGGAAGTGCTGGATAATATGGTAATTCTATTTTTAATATTTTGAGGAACAGCAATTCTGTTTTCCAGAGTGACTGCACCATTTTACATTCCCACCAACAGTGCACAGAAATACTAATTTCTCTATATCCTCAGCAACACTTGTTATTTTCTGTTTTGGGTTTTTTTTTTCTTGTTTTTAGATAACAGCCACTTTAATTAGTGCAAAGTGATATCTCAATGTGGTTTTGATTTGCAGTTCCCTAACATCTTTTTATGTGTTTACTGACCATATGTACATCTTCTTTGGAAGAAATGCACACTTGAGTCCTCTGCCCACTTAAATTGGGTTGTTTTGTTGTTGTTGTTGAATTACATCTTAACATATTTTTTCAAGTCCTTAGTATTTACATGCAAGCATTTTTACTTCATATATAAAGAAGAGAGGCAAACACAATTATGTTGATTCTACAGACAAGGAAACTGAGACACACACCAATAGGTCACATGAATAAGTGTCTACTCTTCAAATAAGACCTTTAAGCCTAATAGCAAACACAAATAACTACACAGTCATATTTTTAAAAATGAGTAAAACGGGCTAGATCCAGAAGTTTATAACTCCGAAAAGGAGAGGAACAAATGTGGCATTTTCTGCATTTCTGGGAAACAGCTCTAGTTGATATGGGCTCAATGGTACCAAATCTTCAGATTTTTCAAGAGAAACTGAAATTTTAGATTTTTTTTTTTTTTTGGCGGTACGCGGGCCTCTCACTGTTGTGGCCTCTCCCATTGCGGAGCACAGGCTCCGGATGCGCAGGCTCAGCGGCCATGGCTCACGGGCCCAGCCGCTCCGCGGCATGTGGGATCTTCCCAGACCAGGGCACGAACCCGTGTCCCCTGCATCGGCAGGAGGACTCTCAACCACTGCGCCACCAGGGAAGCCCTGAAATTTTAGGTTTTAATGTAAGATTAGCTAGTAACAAACCAACTGAAAAATTTTTTTTAAATCACTACATGGGCCAACACTGTGCAGGTTCACAGGTCAGCTGTTTTTAAACTACACCATGGGGTTTCAGACCCATGAAAATTTCTAACACTGGATATTAACAAAATCACAGGGTATACTACCTTTGCAAAAGGGAAAAGAGCATTAAGTACCAAGCATCCATGAGCCTACCTTGTGATTTTCATGGAAAGTAAAGAGTCAAGGCAATGGAGTCAGAAATACTGTGTATGATAATGGAAAGTTAAAACTCAGTACTTCAAACACACTGGCAACTTCTTCTAACAAGAACTGACAATGGTAAATGACTGGAAAAAAATATAAAAATAAAAGCGTCTGCATTTTTATTTATGCTCAAAAGCATTCTTAATAGGACCATTTTTCTAAAAAGAACTTTTTTTACAATAAAAAAGGAATTTCATATAATTATAGAGAATATTAAAGTAAATAAATAAAACATAATTTTCAGAGTCCATCGATTAAAGTTATGGAAAGCTAAAGTGAAATGATGTTTACTAAGTATCTGTGTTGTTACAGAACAACTGGACAAAATCGAGCTCTAATACATGTCAGAAACTCAAATGCAGGGTAGTTAGAAAAGGAAGGCATGTTAAAATGCTAATTTCATTTTATATCAGCTATACATTTGAAACTGTAATTCACATTACAGTAATTAGGATTCCACGAATGAGAACACAATATGAAGTTTGGTACACTGAATTCCATTCTGGAATCCTAAAGCCAACTCAAGCTCAGTGGGGACACAGGCTGTTTGTCTTTTTCTCCACAAGGTGTACAGGGCCTTCACAGTACCTGGAATATAGTAGGTATTCAATACTATTTGTCTGTGGAATAAACAATGATGGTAAAATAATCATTCCTAGACCTCAGTTTCCTAAGAGAAAAAAAGGGAAGAGCAGCAACTTCCTACTTAATGTACAAAGGAGTTTTAAAAAGGATAATGATTAAAATACTCAAAAAGTTGCTGTAACATTTTTTTTTTTTAAATAACATCATTCAAATAAACATACTCACTGTAGTTTTCCTGGTGTGTGTTCCTTTTTGACAGGGGTAGAAATCTGTGGTTCTGGTGAAGGGCAAGGCACTGATGGTTTTGAAGCTGGTGACGAAGGACCTATATCTTTGGGAATTTCAACATGTTTCCAATCTTCTCCTTCTTCAACTAGCAAACCAATTAGTGAACCTAGCCGTATATTTTTAGATCCTTCTGCAACCTATATTTTAAAAAGAAAATAATTGCAGAGATGGAAAGACTCATGACTTCATGAAGTAGTTTATTCCTTGGATAATTCTGTACCAGTTAGAAATCTCTCTTAACGTGAGCTAAAATCTACACCTGAGCTAGCCTGCCTCCGCCTTTCATGTGCCTTGCCTACCTTCCCGCACTTACCCCTTTTTTCACTACTCTCCTCCTTCCAGTTACTGATTCTACCTCCTGAAAAAAAAAAAAAAACAAAAATCTAGAATCTCTTCTCTTTCCCACAGGCTTCAAATATATAAGAGCTACCATTACCATCTTCCTCTTGATGTCATTCAGTACAAATCCAAAACAGGAGTTGTAGTAACATATCTTAACTATTGGTCTTTCCCAGACAGTTTCCACAATGGCTTAGAGAATTCCAAGATTTCATAAGGGATTAATTCCTTCAAATAAGTCATATTTATGAAAATTAATTTAAAGTAAGATCTTTTCAGTAAACTTAGTCTCTGGAAAAAAGGACATCCCATTGTATAGACAGAATTGGTTAACTACTGTGGTTAATAATGTTAAATATACTTTCCACATTTCTCTATATTTAATTTCTTCCCTGTATGTATATTTGAAAGACCTAAGAAATAAAATAAAAACCTCATGAATTTTCTGTAAGTACATAAGAAACATGGTGGTGTCTCAGCTGACCACTTTTTCATAGATATTGCCAACTAAAAACATAAATAAGATCGAAGATGATTTTTTTAAACTCAAATATATTTGAAGCATTTCAGCAGCATTAATTTATAAAGAAAGAGTTGATTCTTATTTACTTATTAAAAGAAGTCCCTAGAGAACCTTCAGATGATAATATAAGTTCAGTACTGGAAGAAAATGTCATTCCTTCAAAGTTTTCTATTGTTCCCTTTCAATTACTTTAAATAAGGTTCATTAGAGATGTAATCTAATGAATAATAGAATGACAGACTGCAGGACAGTCACTAGTATAGTAATTATAAGTAAAAGCATAACTCTTAGAATGGGTTTGACATTTTCTAAGTAACAGTAATTTTCATGGTTATTAATATGTGCACTATTAAAATAATAAGGCATAAATTCTGAGAGTTAGGAAGCTTTCTAAGTTTACTAACTACTGATGGAGAAGAACAGTAAATATATAAAAGAAATGGGTACGTAAAACTAAATAAGGATGTTTAATGAATTGTGGCTGAGGAAAGAAAAATGCTAAACAACCCAAGAACAATTTGTTTAGTTGTTCATCACATACTAAAAAGTTTCACTTCTGTGGACTGCTCATTTTTCTTTACTATGTCAAAAAGATGAGTTAAGATTACTAATGGGTTAACACTTTTTCTTCTTCTGAAAATGTCTATTTACCTGCTTATGAACTGCTAACTCAAAATCACAAAGTAAAATGATCAATTTTCTTAAAAAATTGATAGAAGAAAGCATTAAGTGATATGAAGTACACTTGATGTTAATTCCTATCAAAACTGAACCAGAAATAGGATCAATATCCAAGTTCAAAGAACCTCACTCAAATAAAAAGCATTCTTTAAAAAAAGGAAAGTTTTATTTTAAAAATATCAATAGGTTTCTAAAACCTGAATCAGATACTATGTAGAATCTGAAACTGACACCTCACCTTGTTTCATTTACTACAATAAATCATATAAATGATTCCGTATATACCCTACTTATTGACACCTTCACAAGTGGGCAATAATGAGCATTTAGTATCATTTCCATTTTTACCATATCTAAATATCAAGTAGATTTTATTTTTAACTACTCATATTTTTCCATTAAAAAATGACACGATGAAACATGAAATCCAAATACCATGAACAATGATATACTACCACACAACTTGAACATATTAATAGAAGTTATAAGAAAATAATGCCTATTATAGTTCCATTTAAAGTCATTAAAATCACTATACAATTTAAAATCACTTCTCTTTTTCTATTCCCTTAGTGCAATAAGAGATCTTTTAGAGGCGTGCTAGTTTCCTGTAGATATTTGCTTATGTTGTGGTCAGCAAATATTTAAAATTTGTGTAGACTCAGTAACAGAAGAATATGCTCTTTTCAAAACTGTGCTGAGAAACCAAATGAGCCTTTGTTACTGCTCCCTCTAAGTTAGCACTGTGGATGCGCTCTGCTCCACTACAGCATCTGGAGCTTTGCGACACCTCAGAGGCCCAGGTCTTTTCCCAGGCATTTGACTTACTTGATCAAAATTCTCCCTTACTCTTGTGTCACTGATTTAATATTAAATGCAAGATTTTTACACTTAGTTCTGCTAAAACAGCCCGTTAATGCTCAAATATTCGATCTGGAGTCTGTCATTTAAACTACTAGCCTTCCCTCGCAGTTTTCTATAGGCTCCCTGGGCTTCAATGCTGGCTCTGCTACTTACTAGTTATGTGACCTTGGTGAGGTTTCTTTATCTCACCATGCCTGTTTCTTCATCTGTAAAATGGAAATAATACTACTAACTACTTCACAGAATTATCATAAGAAATAAATGAGTTATATACAAGACACTCAGAATAGTACCAGACATCTAGTGAGTACTACATAAATTGGAAAGATGCTATTATTATGATTGCGGTGTTGTTTTCCTCCAAGTTATTTTTAAAACAAAAATATACTCAACTTGGATCAAGACTGAACTACAGAGGACTGTCCCCATTGGGAAGGACTGGAAATTCATATCGAAAGGCCCAGCATGAGGCTGGGTAAACAGCGACATGTGAGACATTGATACAAACTATTTCTGTGACAAACTATTTCTCAATATACATATACCTATAGAGTCTGAATTCTATCCCTAGGCGCAGACCCCTGGTATGAGTCCTCTCTACCAGAGACATCCCCCAAAGCTGAAATGTATTATCTGCAAATGTGCTAAATACAGCCCCCTTAATAAGCTCCAGTGTACCCAAGGATATGAGATGCTAAAGACACAAAATATCTACAGCAGTATTTCGCAACAGAGAAATTGTTTGAGAGGGTTCATGCCATTAAAGGTGCTGGTAAATACTGTCTGCTTTGATTCTGGCATTAAAAAATAATCAGTAAGTTAAGAAATTATTTAAATATTTTTCTTCTTTAAAACAGAACAGTTTGAGAGCTGCTAAGTGAGTACTGAAGGAACATGCACAATGGTTAGTGGAGATAAGCTGAGTCACATGACTGGCTTAGTTGGCTTGCAAACAGTACAGATTTTCCATCATAGTTTGAACCATTATACAGTTTTAACTTGTTTTTATTCTTTAATATATATATTTAACTTATATACACTATGAACTTTGGTTTAAAAGGAAGACACATAGAAACAATGAAGCAGAAAACAAATCAATAACAAGCTAAAATGCAGAGGGGAGGAGAGACATCCACTAAGTCCTTGAATACCAGTTTGCCTGGTACTCAAGTGCCAGGCACTGTTCTAGCACAGTATTAACTCATTTAATTCTCTTAAAAACCTTATGAAGTGCTATTATTATTCCCATTTACATATAAGGAAACTGAGGCAGAGAAAGGTTAAATAACTTGCTCAAGGTCACAGGGCTAGTTAGCAAGGAGTCAATGCAGTGTGACACTAGAGACAACATTCAATATGATCAGTACCCAATCTGTAAATTATATTAGCTCAATCAAAATGATCATACAGCACCTCAAGACACTGCTACTATTTTTACAAAGAAGCTTAGAAAGGAAGAGTAGATTATACATGATTTAGCTTTTAATTCATGGGGAACATAGACTCATTTACTACTTCAATGTCATTTACCCATTTCAGTATTAAAAAAATTAGAACTGAGAGTATCTCCCAATTAGTAGAATTTGCTCTGAGCTTTGAGAGGGTATTTTCTCAGTTAAAAATATTATAGTCTACAGAGAAGAATCAACTGAAGGTCTTACAATTTCAAATTTCAACCATTAACTTTCAAACTACAAAATGCAATGCTGAAGGAGACTGCAGGCAATTTAATAAAAAATAATGGAGGGGAGGAGGGAATCTAACAAAAAAATAAAACCTTATTGAAAAAATCCATTCTTTTGAAAACATCAGTGTCACAGCACTGGAGTGGGAAACAATCAAGAAATTGATTGAATTTGATGAACAATACCAAAAATAATGATGATCTGTTGTTTTTGTAATATTCAGATGATCAATAGAGAGTTTTTTAAAAATCTGTTTTAATATCCATGGATGGTAGGTTTTAGAAAGAATTCTGTTTTTGAAAATTGTTTTGAAGAGTAACGGCCTACCAATAAAATAAAACTCTATCAATGAATGCATTGCCAGTCAATAAACTAAAATTTTCTAAAATTATGTAAGTTTAAATATTTTTTTAATTATATAAGTTTAAATAATCCTAACATCCTACGCCCTCCTCACCCTCAAAAGTATCCTGACTTGTATGACAAATTATATAGTAACCCTAAATACATTTGAAGCCAAACTACACAATCTCTAATAAACTCTCCAAAAATGTCATCCTAATATTCTATTATATTACCATGTAAAACACCTGCTATCCAATTTGCTGAATAAATTTAAGACTAAACTTATGAACTGATATATGTGTAATAATGTAAGGTTTTTGCATGACAACTTACTAGTGATTAAATGAGAATTTAACAACTCTCCAATTAACTTAATTGGAAATAAATCATAAAATTACACTGATACCAATTATTATTTATTAATATTATTAAGAGCTTCTAAGCTTTTTTTCTGGCTCTAATTGAAATGTAATAATATTATTTTACATTTAAAATGGAATTCAGAGGTAAAAATTATGAGTACAAAGAAAAGAATAAGATTGGGAGGAGAGGGAGAGTATAAAAACCTCTCACAGACTATGGAAGTAAATCCCTATGAATAGCAAAATAGGTTATAATTCCTAATCTTTCAAAATGTGGGCAAACTAAAAACTAGAGTTTTATATCATCACCTGCCTTTTAACAAGCTAAAATTATCCAACTCCTTGATGCTGAAAGTAAAAATCTCTTATATGTATCCCTTTAAAAATCATTTATTATGTGTGCTAAAATATGAGGATTATTCCACATTGAAAGACAAAGTTGTAACTTGCTAGTGGGGTGGTTGAGAATGGAGTGGGGTGAAAGGCTAAAAAAAAAGACAAAAACCAAACACTATCAGTAAAACCACCGTAATTTTTTTCTCCATTTTTTTCCCATAAAATTGCACACATTGTGACATGAATATACTCCTATTCCTATTATCCAAAATGCATGTGGAATAATAATAAAGCACAAAGCCCTAAACTACATACAGTCTTTGGCAAGGAAATAGCTATTTGTGCCGCTAAAGCTGCCGTCAATCACACCCCCCACACCGCTTCAGAGCTCTGGGGCCAGATGAACAGTCACTACTGACCTATGACATCATTAGTAATCTGAAATGCATTACTAAATACCTGAGTGGAAAATGCTGTCAATTCTGGAAGACTTTCACAGCCAAACAATCCAGAACTAGGGTCAAAAACACAGCTTGCCAAAAGCACACACAATAAAATGTAGTTGCGTTTATTACATATGGTAATTCAAACAACCTTCTTCCATTTCAAAATGCTGCATAAATTAGTGAAAGAAACTACTTTTGGTATGAACATTTATTTTTTCCTAGTTATAAAGGTATAGAAATTTTACCCTTCCATTCACATTTCCTCCTAGGAAGTATGTTCAACAATGTGTTTTAACATGGCTATTAATATTGAAGATGACAAGGAAGTTTGACAAATTAGAATGTAAAAGATAAAATATCAAGTATGACATCCCAAGGTACGGTCTTTGAATAGAATGTATGAAGGAAGGCATTATATGCATGGTCAAAGCAGAGGTAAGCTGGTAGCCCAGAATTAAAACCACATCAACAATGGACTACTAATAGACGTGCAGTTTATCTGTACAAATCAAACTACAGAGGCACAAATGGATGCTTAGTGTCTAGTCACAACCAACACAAATTATTAGACAAATATACAGACTGAAATGGGGGCTTATGGTCACCAAGACTGAATGAATAACTGTAATAATAATGGGAACAGTGATATTTATTGACACCTGGTGGGTGATAGGTCTTGTGATGAGTGTATATGCATTATCTCACTCAATCTCTACTACTACCCCATGACCTAGGTATTATAGTTATCTCCACTTTATTATGAAGGTAAAAGAATTTGCTAATCATGACATAACTAGTAACCCGCAGAACTTATTAGCTATATGAATCAGGCAGCAGTGTGACTCCAGAGCTTACAATCTTAGCTGCTATACCATGCTGTCTATTAAATGTCCTACATGTTAAGAAACAAACATGCTCCATCAGTGAATATACCATGTAACCTTAAACAGGCTTTAAGCATTTCATTTTACTTTACTTTTCACATAAATTCTAATATTCCATTATAAAAATAACATGCCTATTATAGAAAATTTAGAATATAGAGACAAACAGAAAAAAGCAGAGCAGGGAATCACTTAGTTCCACTACCCAAAGACACATACTCAAATTTTTATAACACTTCTTTCTAATCTTTTCTGTATTTATGTTTTTAAAGTTCTACAAGATTGTAATCACTGTCCACACACAATTGTAAAAGCATTTTTCCAAAATTTTTTTCAATTTTTGTTAACTTATAAAGAAATCACATTTTTTTCCTAGAAACAATTTTTCATTGGCTATATGATATTCCGTATTTCCTTCCATTAATAAAGTAACCTCTCTTGTATTGCTACACATTTTGGTTGAAGGGTTGCACTAACTTCAGCTTGTAATAATGCCACCAAAGTATCCAAGTTACAGCTTCATATTTTTAATTAGTTATAAAGCAAAGTTTGTTCAGAAGAGCCTTGAAAATTACTGCAATGTATTAAAATTTAGATCTAAAAGGAAATGACTTTGGTTTTGCTAGCCCCACAAGTATATTTCCTTTTGCTCATGAAGCAGAAAATATGCTATCAAAAGATAAGATTGTCAACTACATTCAAGTATATGAAATATTCCATACACATATCTTTTTAAATAATTATATTTTAAAATAATTATAAAAATGTAAAGGATGAATAAAACTGTAAGAAAGAGTAAGAAGTAGACCAGGACACTGAGTGTGGCTATGAAACCCACAAGCAAGACTATGCATAGGACAACTTCAAATAGTCTCATCTAGAGAAAGGAGCTGAGCAGACAGTCACTTTATACACTTTCTAGGTTTCGGAGTCCTGGGGATAGATGAAGACAGGGTTTCTTGCTTTCATGAGATTAGGGTAAAACATTTCTTTTTAAAAATTTTACCAACTATAAACTTGGAAATTACTAGCTCTAAGCTTTAACCTATTGCTTTCTTTGTCTTCAAATTCCACCTCAAATAGACTTCTCTCATCCTTCAGGCCAGAATGCTTCTCATTTTCCACTAGGGAACCCAAAACACTGAGTTATCTTTATCATGGTTGAAATAGTTCTATGTTGTTTGATCATTACTGGCTACTATTAGACCTTAACACTAAAATATTTTAAACATCTGAATTTAAAATGTATTATGTATACTATAACACTATAAACAAAGAGGTAAAAATAAACAGTAACTCAATTTCAAGGAACTTTACATTTAAGAAATCTTCATCCTGTTGAAGACAGTCAAAATAAAAACTTACCACTATTTTGGCCAAGATGCCGTCATCACTTGCATCTAAGGTAACCACAGCTTTGTCAGTCTCTATTTCACATAAGGCATCTCCAGTACTCACAGCTTCACCTACAAAACAAGACTGGGTTTGTTTTGTTTTTTAAAATATGAATATTAGTTATGTGAGATGGTGTGTGTAAAGTGTGTAAAACACGATAATAGGTACCAAAACACTCAATAGCTATTTCTGGGTTGTGGAATTACAAGTAATTCTCATATTGTGTGTGTGTTTCTGTGGTGTATATGTGTATGCTTTGTTGCATTTCCCAAAAGCTCAATAATGAACCTAAATTATATCTGTTATAATAAAAAAGTGATTATAGAGATTATTAAGCAAACATTAAAAATGAAATCGCATTTTATAGAGAATAGAAAGGGATGCGTATCTTCCTCCAAACAAATCAATTCCAGACCCCATATTTCTTCCTTTTTAATATATTTTGATTATTATTCCTTAAGAAGACAGTTTTACAATTAATAACACCTCCGGGTTAACACTGTACGCGAGTTCAGAAACCCTGTCTGCACCACAGAGCACAAATGAATAAAAACATATTAAGCATAAAGAGAGAAAATCAAAGACATAGCTAAGGTCAAATAAGAAACACTTCTGTGCAACAGAAACAGTATAGATATTCAAAAATGCTGAGCAGGACCTGACTTGCTGGTTTCTGGAGCTAAAAGCAGGTTGTGGGGAGGAAGGGTGAAGTACAGTAGTTTCCTTTGGAGCAAAGGGAACTAAAAGTGGCCTGATGAAGCAGGGGACTCAAATCGATTCTCTGCTTAAAGCTAGGGCTGGCTGCAACCAAAACCTTTGACTAGAACTATGGCTTTATATCAGAAATGAGGGTCTAAGAAGGTAGGGGACAAAAACACTACCTCAATACCAGAACAGAGTCAAGCCACCCTCTGGTTCCATTACTTTATCTGCCAATATCCCAAATATCAATAGCAAAATCCCTGGATTGAGGGGCGTGGAAAGGGAGACTCAGGGGACAGGTAGGAAGACATCGAAACTAAAACAGAAACATTCCACTCAAAAGTAAATTGCAAAACAAAGTTCCAAAACATGAAGAAATTTAATGCTAAGAAAGAAAACCACAAAAATCAGTAATTGGAACAGAAATTCATTTCAGATGCAATCTATTTAGTGCAACCCACCAAAGATTTTAAAATAAGTATCTTAAGGATGTTCAGAAATAGAAATGAAGGTATAAGATCCATCACAAGAACAAGAGATAAAAAAGAAAAATAATGTACAGACATAAAGCACCATCAGGTTGAAAGGAAAAAAACTAATTAGAAATCTTGGAAGTGAAAGATACAATTAATGAAATAACAAGAAACAATCAATGGGATATATTCTACAGTCGACATAGTGAAAGAATGATTTAGTAAATTAAAGATAGCTTCAATGAACTAACCGGAACTTAATATGGGCAGACAAAAGGACAAGTAGAAAAGAGCAGTTAAGGGACATAAATTGAGGCTGCAGTGTTTGTCCAATGGAGTTCCAAGGGAAGAGATGGGAGAGAATAGTGGACAAGCAATACTTGAAGAGGTAATTGCTGAGAATTTCCCAGAGTTAAAAAGAGATATATATCCTCAAAATGAAAGAGCACTGAAAGAGTTTAGAGTGTGGTTATCTATAGTGCATTGACTAGGAGGGGGCACAGGGAGTCTTGGAACTTGCTGGAAATATTCTGTATCTTGACTAGGTATTAGTAACCTGGATATACGTGCTTGTAAAAATTAATTGAGCTTACATTGTGCAGGTAATACCTTGATAAAAAGAACTCAACAGAAAAAAAGAGTATTAGACTGTATAAACATGACTCCACATCATACACTGTATAGAAATTACATACTTTCAACAATTGAAACACAATTTTAAAAGCTATCAGAGGGAAAAAAATAGATTACCTCAATGGAATGACAGACTGAGAGCACACTTCTCAGCAGCTGCAATAGAGGTCAGAAGACAACGGAGTAATATCTTCAAAAAGCTGAGGAAAAATAACTGTCTAGAATTTTATATGCAGCCAAACCATCATTCAAGAACGAAGGAAAAGTTCAGACATAAAAGCTAAGAAAATTTACCACTTACTGATGAGCTCTTACAAAATGCAGTTTATCAAAAAGAAAGGTAGACACAGAGGGGACCCATGGGCTACACAAAACAAGTTACCATAGAAACCGATAAAGTGTTAACATTTAATCATTTAAAAGGTAATTTCTGAGGGGTTAAAAAAGTTTACAACTCAAACATTAAAAAAAACAATAAGACGGATAAGGATATTTTTAGGTGATAAAACATGCTAAGAACTTTGATACAGATAGGAGGAGAAAATACTGGATAACTCTAGACTGCACTGGCAAAATATAATTAAATATGTATCCTAAAAACTTAATGGTGTATACCAAAAAATATAAAAATGGAAACATAACCTACAGCATTCATAAAAGCAGGAAATATAGAAAATAACAAAAACTATTATCCAGTTGAAGGCAGATGCATGAAAAGAAAAAAAGCAAAGGATAAAAACAGAAAACACAAAAATGGTAGAAGTCCAAACACATCAGTAATTACAATTAACATAAATGGATTAAAACCACCGACTAAAAGAGATATCAAAATGAATAAAAAAAAAAATCTAGTTAAATGTTGCTTATAAGAGACAGACATAAACAAAAACAGAATAAAAAGTAAGATATAGAAAAATGTGAAGCATACAAATACACCCCCTCACATACACACCAAAAACAGCTGGTACAGCAATATGAATAGGCACACTCAATAAAAGAACATGAAGGAAAATCTAAAGCGCTGACATAACAAATACGCTCTAAAAGTTCACTGTACTGAAACTCCTTCACTGTATATCAAGATTTTCACACAGATGGTTATACTATATCTCAGTTAAAATAATTCAGAACCACCAATACAAACTATTTTAATGAAATAAACTTATCTGTTAGATATTTATCAAACACCTGAAAGGTGCTCAGTCTAACCCCAAAGAGATTTTCCTACTCAACCAATATTTATTGAAAATGTATTAGAGCACTGAGGATACAGCAGTGGGAGGAAAAAAGTGGTTAAGATTTCTGACCTCAAGAAGCATCCTCACTATCTTGTGATAAATTAATTGGAAATAACAGTGGAATTAGGTGAAGTCAGGATGGTATGGGAACACTCAGCAGGGGTATCTAATTCAGTTTTTGAAAGGTGAGAGCAGCCTTCCTTAAAAAAAAAAAAAAAAAAGACATCTAGTCTGAGCCTGAAAAGATGAGGAGGAGACAATCAAGTAAAGGGGCAAGTGATCCAGGCAGAAGGCACAACACACCCAAAGCTCTCAAGGCGAAAGAAAACAGGAAACTTCGGAGGATCTGGCTAATACTACCTGAGAGAAGTGATGAGAGATTAGGCTGGTGAGGTAAGCAGGAATCCCACCCAAAAAGGAAACTTGTCTGTCATACAGAGAAAGCTACGGTGCCAGATTATACAATCTCACATCACTTCTTTATATGACAGATGTCCTAGGGCAGTTAAGACAGATTATATTTCAAAAGGAAAGGAATCACACCCTAATATGTTTCTGCTGTAACCATGGAAAAAACAATTGAACCAGGCAACCTAGCAATTAAATACTTCTTTTGGACACCTAGAAAAGAAATTCTGCCCATAGGAAAATAATAAAATAATGTTTTATCACTTGTGCTTGCCTATTTCAAATTCCAAACACCCTTTGAGAACGATTCACAAATTCTACCTCAGCCATAGATCAACCTAGATGATTTTGTTCCTATTCCTGAATTCCTATAGTAATTGTAATTAATTTGAAATGAATCACAAATTGTACTATGAAATGTTATGTTAACTTCTATTACTTTTTTAAAAATTGGTTTTCTTCTATTTACCAAACTATGAGCTTCTTCATAATAGGAACAGGACACAGTTTAAGTGTTTTACATTCTACCTCATTCCCTAGGACTCCAGCTATTGCCTCATACATAATGAGTTTGAGATTAAAACACTTCAGAAAAAAATTGCAATAATATCACGTCTTCATTTCCTCATAAGGTATACATCAAACTGTCCTTTATGTTTCTTTCACTTCTAACATTTGATTTGTAGCATGTTTCTGACATTTAAAAACTTAGGTATCCTGTTTCCTTTTTATTTTGTTTTAATTAAAGGTACACCTATTCACAAAACATATATATATATTAGCTATATGAGAATCCTGAGAGAGAGATAAAATGTAAAGAAACATAGAGAAAAGCATCTATTGTGTGGTGAACCTTCCCCAGGAACCACAGCAAGGTTTAAAACATTGTATTATTATATAAGGCACATTACCCCTAATATCACAAAACTAGGGTTCTATCTGTCAATAATCAAACATAATGTGAATGCCAAAGAAAAATTTTGAGACAAATAACGAGCCATGAAGATTCCAAATATACTCAGTTTCAGCCCTGGTCAACAATTTAGTGCTGTATCTTGGAAAACCTGCAAGGCACAGTAGTTATAAGGAGCTCTTCCAACTCAGACACAGGTTTATTCCAAGCTCTGACACTTACTGGTAATCCTGACTAAGTTACTTAATCTCTCTGACTCTAAGGAAAGTTTTGAATGTGCAGCTATTATAAAAAAAATCATGGAACTGCAAATGTTAACTCTTCACAAACCTCTTCAAATAACACTTCACAACATCTTTAGATTAAAAACTTATGTATGTTATTAATAACCATTAAGAACCAAGACTCATTCTAGCTCCCTACTCCATATGCCATCATTTCAGACAGACCATTCAGCATACATTAGTATATAAGGCATTTATAGGTAGGCACTGGGTATAAACAAAACAATAAGATAGGGTTCTGTTCACAAGTTCAGAGTCTAGAGGAGAAGACTTAGAAGCTAGCACAGAGCATCATGGCTGGTGTGAGGTGACAGACGGCTCCTCAGCTGCCACGTTGAGGGCTGACTGGTTGTAGAAGGAGATGGCAGCCTTGCCGTGTTCCTGCGTGTCCCTGTGCCATCTCCTCGTGGTGCGTGTCAG